GTCTTATCGTCCTTCATAAATATTCTATTGAAGGTAATTACTGGTGCTTCCATAAGAGGTAAGGTATTTAAAATGTTTAGCAACACGGTGTGCTAGAATTAAATGCAGTTTTGCGATTCCTATTGTAAGTAGTAATTAATGATACCTACTTATAATGATTAATTAAGGTATCGATTTTCGACTGAATAACTGGAGCTTACTCGTCGGAGTTTATCTTTTGTATTTTAGTACTAGGTGTGTCTTAGTCAAACAGTAGGTACCTATACCTGAATCTTCTTAGAAGGATTAGTGTTCTTAATCATCATTTAATTGTTTATGATCATTCATGAAACGATTAAGTATTTTCAAAAGCCCGCACTTATTTGTTTCTAGGCAAAGCAGCAGTAGCAGTAGTAGTAGTAAAGCAGTTCAGTTTTTTTTGTTTTGGTTTAAAATTATGACCTAGGAACTCTCCCTTTTTTATCCGACTGCGACTATTTTACTTCTCACAGTGGCAGCCCCGGATCTAGGGGGGGGCAAACCGGGGCACCTGCCCCGGGCGGCAGTTTCAGAGGGCGCCAAAATCAATTTAGTACATTCTGTATTAACCTAGTTGGCAACACTGATAGCGTACCTACGTATCTCTGCCGGGGGAATCCCCGTATGTCACATACGGGGATTCCCGGCAGAGACTCACATGTAGAACTAGAGGCTACACGAACCGAGCCGAATAAACCTGTACGTCAAGGGACTATCGTTGTTTGTTTATGTGATTGATTGCGTGTGCGAGTAATTATAATAATTATTAGCGAAACTATTGACTTAAACTACACCGTATTGGAAATAAACGCCTTACGAAATAATAGGTAAGTAATAAAAATAATATTATAAATCATATTAATTATATTATCTTTTCGATCCTATTACTGTTCCTTAATGTATTATGTAATTGATGAAGTGTCTATAACTCATGTTTTGCTGGGCTCCGTAATTCAGTTATAGCCTGACCAGGAACATAAAAACCCTCGCCATGTTGCGGAAAACTAATGGTACTAATTTCTTTTAATGGCAACAGTAACTGAAAACTTCATTGACATGTCACCTTGCATGTCAGTCTATTGTTGTCAAAGTGTAAACAAACTTTATTTTAAATGTGTGCAATTGATTTTGTGAATTAAATTGCTAAAATATTTTTATAGTCGTGAAAGAAAAGTGGTTCACGATGTGTTAATGTATTTGTCGAAGAGAAATACTAAGGGTTCGGACAATATTTTCATTGAATAATGTTTCCGACAAAGGTTGTCAAATTGACTGACATGTTTATCGTATGGTACAGTCCACTATGAAAATTAGCTGTAGTCTGTTTCAACTACCTATTTTAAAGTTTTTTGTCACTTTCTAAGTTTTGAATTTTATGGAATTGGGAAAGAAGTACCGAGTTTGAAGCGTTCATGAGCAGACATTGCAGTTGAATATTCATGNGAACCGAGCCGAATAAATATTTATGCCAGGAACTTTCTGTATTCAAAGACCTAGTAACAGAAATTAATGAAAAATCAAGTGCATTCGACCTGTTACAACATCTGTGTAAGAATGACTTGCAAGAAGCGTTTCCTAATGTTAGTATAGCTTTAAGGATATACTGCACATTACCGACGACATCTGCAAGCTGTGAGCGAAGTTTCAGCAAACTGAAAATAATTAAAACCTATCTGCGTTCAACAATGAGCCAAGAACGTTTATCTAGCCTCGCGATTCTAGCCATTGAAAATAAAACTGCCTTTGAAACGGACTTTGATGAGCTAATAGATTCTTTCGCGGAAAAGAAAGCACGCCGTGTGAAGCTGTAGAGGTAGTAAGATAAGAGAGAAAAAAAAACGATGAGAAAAATTAAAACAAAGTCTTGATTATCAGTTGCCTTGTTATATGATTGCTATATTTAATTTGATGTCACACCTAAGAAAAAGTTATTAGTAATAGATAATAAAGAGTACAAATTTATTAAAGAGTATTCTTTCGATCACCAATAATGCCACATATTATAATATTAGTGTTAATCAAACGCTCACGAGAGGGGGCGCTATATCAAGTTCTTGCCCCGGTTCGAAAAAATCGTAGATCCGGGGCTGCACAGTGGCAACCCTAGCATAGACTGTCGTTGCGGCCATAACCGGCGCGGATTGCGCCTGGCGACATTCAATTGTAATTTATTTTTATTTGCACAGCTTTTTGCCAACGAAGCGCAATATGGCCACTTCAGGCTTGTTAGAAAATATGAAAGCGACACCTAGGACCAGTGGAATTTACGTTTTGTGTGGAAAATTGGCACAACTGGGCATTGTTCTAATCAGTAGTTCTTGATCGTTGGAAGAGCGTTAATTTCGTGATAGGATTTTTTGCAGAAAAACTAAGAAAATCTTAAACAAACAATGAACATAGGTAATATCTGTAAAAAGATTGGCGTACCTATGTATACGCCTCTACCTACCTCGGGTAAAAACATTGTGACCTTTAAGTTGTAATTAATTAAATGTAGTTAAATGTTAACTGTAACTTTGTCGCACATAACTCACGTTGTTTTTGAAATATGTGCTTTTATGCAGAAAAATATGTGATAGCTTCGCTTTGAGCAATTAATTATCATTTATCTTGAAAGTTCCTCACATATTTTTACAGCGCGAGCTTTCGGGTTAAGCTTGTAATACGCGCGCTTTCGGTGAAAGTCGAGCTTCTGGGTAGTGCTTTTTCGGTTAGCGTACATACAACTGTACTTCAATTAGTACGCCTTTGCGAAATTGTTCAACTGGATTTAGGTCGAGCTGAAGCACATTCCATTTTACAACTTTTTGAATGGTTAAGGAGAAAATTAAATAAAATTGTACCTAGGTAAATTTTAACATGAAACTTGTAAATAAATAATCCATATCAAGTTTTATTCCATATTTCAGCTCTTTTTATGATTTATTTCACACAAATCAGCTTCTTTTTCTTCTTCACTTCTCTAGCTATCAGGATTCAAAAGTTAAGGCGTTAAACGTAGGTAAATTAACAACTTAACGGTTTACAGCGGTAAAGTTAAACCTTGGAACATATGACTTGGATTAAAAAGCACTTCAAATACAGTTATTTTTTACTAGTTTTTTATATGCTCTTTAAAATGTTTCACATCGTAAAAAGGCCGGGCTTTATATTTTATACAGCTTTAAAATCCTAATATGGGCAGTCGTTACAATTGATTCTTTTCTTATTGGTAACAAATAACTTATTAAAATATCATTGCCTTATTTTATTGAAAACATTATAATAATAGTGACTGAGGCTCTTGCGCTGGCTTCTTCTCTGAACTGGCCCATTTTATATTGTCCCGAAGCAGTTAGGGTTAGTATTGGAAGGTTTTAAAAGCCTACTTGCAAAAATAAAGTGAGTTTTATGATTTTTTATGAGTTTTATTAAAATTGATTTTATTTTCCTGAAATATTTCTCATCGTATCCGTGCACTGGTCAACACTTCCCTTTTTTAGGGTTTCGTAGTCCTGACAAGAAACCCTTATTATCAAGCCCTATCAACTAAGTAGTTTTGTTGCATTCATAGATGACCTAAATCTAGTCTAGTTCACCAGGCACAACTAGTATAGTTCCAGCTAGATAATGGTGAGTGACGTCACTCTCCCCTGGCCTCTGGCCTGCGGGGCCGTTACTATGTGCTTTGTGACCTATATTTAGGTCAACATATCGTCTAATATGTATACGATAAGGGAGAGCCGAAAATTTGATAGGGAAGTACTTAATATTCAATTGAATTTGGCTTTGTAGGAATTATATTTTACCATACTAGGTAACTAGGTAGTCAAGGAAATAGCGCTCTTTCTTTAAAAATAAATAATTAAGACTAGAGAGTTTCCAGTGTTGGGGTTTCCTTCCGTGCCCAGTGGTTTACAGATGCAAGCATTCAAGGTTTTAGGTTCGATTTCAGATGAAATACCAACATTCTCTACCTAATAACTTTAAAAAATAATTAAATTCTGTGTTGTTCTTTTGTGCTCCAGTGGCTGTCCAAGTCCTAGGTTCGGTTTTAAGATGGAACATAAATTATTATATTATACCTACTAGAGACAACAAATTAGCTCATACACCGGCACTTGAGTTAAATAAGCAAAAATAACTTACTACCTACTTATTAAAATCTTTTCCTTAATAAACTGAAGGAAAACGTGTCTTTGTTACTATTACTCATTGCTTGTATAACTTGCATGCGTCTACTATTTGTTTATCTAACTAATTTGAGTCTTAATTGTATTCCCTAATAAGTTCAATATCTCGTGCGCTTGCATAGCTGAGTCATTTATCTTGAATCAGTCAATGTGCAGTGTTGACTTTACACGGCTTCCAGTTTCCAATAAATCGTTATATTTATTTGTTTTATTAAACAGAAAAGAAGTACCTAAAACATACTTATTATTTTAAGTGTGTTTGTACCTAGATACTTCTTTTCCTACACATAGAGCTCAAAAACACTAACATTAGACATTGAGTTCTACTTTAGGTAAACTTTGCTCTACGTAAACTTTCTTACAGCCAAAATTATTCAACAGTTATTTACTAATTTAATGATCCTCCTTTTATTTTCCTAATTAGTTAAATACATACATACTTTATAATAATTATCCTTACGGTTTTTGCTCAGAATGTTATGTTGTCAACTTTATAACTAATTTAGTAATTGATATTCTTCATTTTTATTTATTACAAAGAAAGCCTTTTATAATACGGTCATTTAAATACTGAACATACCAGTTATTCTTTTATATTTTTTCGAATTCAGTTTGGCCTTTCTTTAAGTACTAATAGTAATTTGAACTTTTTAGGAAGAGGAAGTACCTATGTCTTGGTGACAAACTGCGAGAGTTTTTAAGTAACTTTTAACACTTTCACTTTTAATTTTTTATTTATTTATCTTCTTCGAAATTAAACCTAGAACTTCTTCAAAATATATAAAAAAACAAGTGAAAATAAATACGCACCTTCAGTTTCGATTTGTGCACAACAGCATTATTTTGCAACGAATCAAACGCATACCAGATGCAGTTTGTAACATTTTTCAAAAGGGCGGACATTTTCACACTGTATAGAGCACAGACAAAAAACGAACATCACCAACAAAACTTTTTGTTCCAATACGACAACGGAATAAAAAAAAACAATACGCGCGTGTTTCCTTCGCGCGTTCGATATTTGAACTGAGCGCGAATGTGATAATAGTAGAGACAGCGGACAGAGCGGCTTGAAGCAGTGTGGAAATTAAAAAATAACTTAGCGGTATACGAAATTGTCAGCGTTTTATTGAAGAAGGTTTATTAGCGCGAACTGGCAGCTGCTACAAGTTTCACAAATTCGGGCGAACTTGGTACCAAGCTGCCTCGGTGTGCGCTGCAGAGGGCGGCATCTGGCCATCATCAACAGTGACGTGGAGGCTGAAGTCATCAAGGGGATATACCAGAACTACCCCGACGACACCATCCAGGCGGACTACAAGCACACAGCGAGCATCGGATTCCTAGATTGGGGAGTACGAGGACTCTGGTGCATCTCGGGGGAAGAAGTGCCTTTTAAGTGAATATTGGCAACTTTTCGCCGTATTCTCAAACCGAACTTGATTAACGAACTTAACAAGCAAAGGAAATAATTGCGGTCCACATTCGTACCGATATTTCTGCATATTCGTTTGGATTGCATGTGATTACGGCGCTCAAAATGGCCGGCCGCTACATTATAATTACGTTACTCATCACAACACGGCGTCGTCCTCGGATGTTTTCTCCATATCCGCACGATTGACTCATGCATACAGGGTTGCCCTCGAAGAGCTTTCATAAGCATAATAAATTAAGGAACAACTCAACCCCGTCAAACCCCTGCGACATGGTGTCGAGTTGAGGGGTTGTCCTGAGGTCATCATTCAATTTCTACCCGGTCGGGAATCGAACCCGGGACCTCTCGGCATAGTAGTCCGTTCTGAACCACTACACCAAACGGCCGACAAAACAACAACTACAATATAAAATTTTTGTAACATTTTAAATGCAGAAGTTTTATGCATCTATCAGTTAGATTATTACGTTATCGCGCTTTTTAGCTAGGCAAGTAAAATAACTTGATTGATTTATGAAGTAAAATTGGCAAGATCAAAATGGACTCTCAGACTGGACAACCCTAAGCGAGAACGTTCGAGCGCATTTAAATATGTTGTGCCTCGCCAAATTCAGAAGATCTGTAGGTCACCAATACGTAGGTATATTCCATTGAGTTCCCCAAATGTTATCAGATGGTAAACGACCTTTTAAGAACAACCTCAAGCCACCAACACTAGATTATAAGTTTTGTTCTATAACAAACTTAAATAAGTAAACAATAGTAAAACCAGACGTCCTTAACCTTTAAAAGACGCGTAATCGCTCTTTTAGTGTCTAAAAATACACGAGATGTTATTATGACACCTACATTTCCTGAAATTACGTTCTAGTAACTCCTGCATCCGCAAGGAAACTTAATTCACGTTAAATACTAACTGAAAAGAAATTGCTCTACCTATTTTATTTTCAAGATGCGACAAGCATCGAGAATGGGTAAGTACTAATAAATTGCAGGCGGCGAAACTACGCACAGTAAAAAAAGTCTAACCTCCAAGTAAGTTTGATTCTTGTTTATTATTTAACCTAATCTGTGCACCTGGATCGTCCACAAATCACGTAACCGGAACCATTCGCTTTGCCCATATAAGTTAGGGCCATGCAAAACACTATAGGAAGCCAACCAAGGTCTTACCCTTATCTGGAGCCGGCACTTTCAAACTGTATTCTAAATTGTCTATGTGATTGAGTGGATTAGTGGATCAATCTCGTGTATTTCCGACTTGTAAATTATATGGGACCTTCTACGTAAGTTATGGTTTTGTTGCATTGCCATCAGGAAACCTGTAGAATTAATTTTATTATGTTGGTTATTGGTTTACCATCCGAATCCGAATATAAAAGAAGTTATTATTTAGTTAGTATATTAGTTTCCACAAAAACACATTGTAACTTTAAGTCCTTTTAAGTCTCAAAAAGGTTTATACCACATAATTACGAATTCCTATATTCATTTAAGATTTAATCAGGATATTGCTAAAATAAGGTGACAAATGAAACACGAATTCTTTGGTAAGATTTTATTAAGTTTTATATCTACGGATAAAATTACATTTATAAATTTGAAAATACCGAATACATCGTTGACGCTAGCGCCAACACTCGGTAGTAATAACATATAGCCGTAAGATAAAAAAGCAACTACTTATCTTTATTGTATAGTTCCCTAACTATACCACTCACTAGTTGCGGTGAGGACTTTGCCCAACAGTGGGACATTGTAGGTATTAGTTACTTACCTTTAAGATTTAAAGAAATTAATCTAGTTGCCATAGCTATTCTATGCTGCCGTTGCCAGTAACCTTATTGATATTGTAACAGTGTTGCTAGCAGTCGATTCGATGGTCAGCACAATCTTAACAAATCTCTAGTCTGATGGTATTCTTCAGTGCCTTTACAGAGTAGGTATTTAAAGAATATTAATTTGCAGATCTAGATACTTCTACCACGTGACACGATTGTCTTTTATTTATGGCAATGACCTGGTTTTAGGAACCACGATTTCGCCGATGTCACGTGAGCAGTTGCAAACTTAATATGATAAGGTCAACCAAATTTTTTATAATGTACTAGATTTTTCTTTGTTTGCAAAAACTTGCAATACACTGCCAATTTAAATAACTAAAATAAAATAACCCTCCTTCTGGGGCAGTCGGGTAAATATAATACTCGATTTTTTTTATCTTACGGCTGTATAATAGACACATAGATTCTCAAAAACGGTTACAATAGCTTGAAAAGCCAAAAACTACAACTATCCTTACATGATTAATAGCTGTGAATGTAATAAATAATGAACTGTTGATGTAATTCATAAATACGAATGCGTAAGTACTTACAATACGATTTCCCAATCTAACCACGCGTGTTGAGAAGGATAAGTCTACATTGGAACAGTGAATAAAATGTATGGAACATCAATTTTGGCACCCACTATTTCCTTCTGGTGTTAGCATGCGTGAAATAATGTGAAAAATTGCCATGTTGGTGTCACTCTATATTTCTGAACCATAAGTAGAATTTTTGTGCGATTTTTTTAGATCTTTACATGTATTGACTTTCACATGCTGCTTTGCAACGTGGTTAAAATCTTGATACATTTTATTCACCTTATCCAATATGAAAATTATATCTAAACTTCAAATTTTTAGGTCAAGTCAGTAAAATGGGGTCTGAATTGGTTTTGTTGTATTGAAGAATCGTATAAAGAAACGATAAACTTCAGTATGAAGAGTATTTTTACGTCGTTTTTTAAAATGAGCTTAAATTACTAAAATTACACCCTTGAGATTCTTAAGTCGCTGTCAAACCAAATGCCAATTTACCGACTTGAACGAAAAATGCTTTAAAAATATTCAACTATACGAAAATATTGTACATGTAATCAAAATTCGCAATGGAATGTCAGACTATTTAAACTTAAAAACATTATAATTACAATGGCAAGTAAATAGAGAGACCACCCCCAGTTTAATGAACTTCAGATCGTAAAATTTTACAGACGACAGTTTTTTTCTAATGACAAAGTGTTACACACGAATGACAGGAATAAAAAAAACTGTCAAGTCTGTCAAATGTGACCCTGTCAGTTCTATTAAACGGGCCCCAATTACTCATGATTATTTCGTGATGTATCCGTTTCCTTAAAACACTATAGAAGACCCTGGATTATGTTGACCATACATGCGAGTACGCAACCTCAATTGAAAAGAAATGTCAGCCGTAGGTGGAGCGAGAAAGTTCTGTTAGCTGCAGCACTATATTCCTGTTAAATGTTGAACCTTAACAGCTTTGTATTAAGGGTCAACATTTTTCTGAAAATGGCATGATCTTGCGTAGCCGTACTTTGGGTGGAACATCGCATATAGAGATTCGACATTTCTATTACATGAACACTTCACGAAATAATCAATAAGTCAATAATCATAATAAAATATTGAGTACAGTCGCGCAGAACAGTTGTCCATTTCATTCATAAAAAGTTGTTTCCAGTTTGCTTTAATATCTTGTAATCTGGGTAAAACTCATGAGCTTTCACAATAATCGCGACTGCAGAAAGGTATAACTAATAATAAAGCCATATCCATTTTTAAACACTTCATCAGATTCACAAACTTACGTCTAAAATCTATAAAATTTAATAAAAATACGTAACAAAACATTAATAAATTACTAATGAGTAATCACAAAATTTTAAGTCATAATAATGCATAATCAAAAATATAATTTATGATAAGAAACATGTAATGAGTTAAATTAAGTGATAATTTCAAAATATAGTCAGCTATTTATTCTTATGATACTGATACATATTTTGGTCAACTTATTGTTTAATTTTCAGGTGTAACCGGAGCTGTTTAACGCCTATTTCCTTAATCTGTAACGATTCGTTAAGCGTTGGCAAATCGAACAGTTTTTGGAATAAAGTAACCAGACATAAACCGACGACTGGGAACAAACTTTACCTGCAGGCTACAGTACCGTATTTGCGGGTTACCTTAGCTCTAGGGGGGCAACTTAAAACAAAATAGGATTTAATTTCCCACCTCTTCCTAGTAATGTCGATAAATCGACAAGGCAATGTTAGGTAGCGTTACTGACGCATATTTATTTTTAGTTGGTTCCAAGATACTTTGCTCAATTTCAATACTTTATTGTTGAGCCAAAGTTGCCGAAAGAAAGTAACCCGCATCTACGCTACCAGATTTTTTTTCTGCAAATATGTAAGTATGGCAACGTGAGCGTCTCATTTGTTACCTAGTGGACGCATAGCTTAATCGGTGGTATTGGTTCCGAAGAACATCGTCAGCAGCCTCGGCCTACCCTCTAAGAGCGCTTTCACATTAGGGCGTTAGTAGCGCGAAAGCAGCGCGCCAGCGGCATTTTTATAATGCGAAGGCATGCATCCGCTGTCACATAGTATGAATTTTTCGGCAGCGCGTCTGTCGCGCGTTTGTCGCGCTGCTAAATCGCCTAAATGTGAAAGCGCTCTAAATCTCTTCAAGTTGGGAGAAAAGCCATGTGACATCAAAACCATGTATGGAATGCCTCATGTGTATCATGACTTAGGGCGCCAATTAGAGACGTGAGAATACGCCTCTCTCAATTAGAAGACGCCCTTAGACCCTTATTATAAAACGGAGCCTAAAACCGGATTGAAACTCGAGCATTGATTTGACCTGAGATTGATTGAAATGTTCAGACCAATAATAGGGTGGAATTTGTACTTCAGTGTAGATTCGTACGTACCTATGTGAACCGTTTTATAATAAGGGCCTAATCAGTAAAAGTAGTAAAACGACTAATCAATAAGTTGACCAAATATTACAAACACCGAACACTACTGTATTGTTTTTGACTAGGGTATGTCACAGGAACGTACCTTACGCTAAGAATACACTGAACGACTATTATATTTAAATGTTTGGCGCCGCCCCTCAGCAAATAAATTTTGTATCAGCAAAAAAAATCCAGCTTCCAACCGCATCCCCTGAGAGAGCGTCAAAGTAACACAATGCCATCGTAAATAAAACTAATCGTAACTCAAATGAACTTAATATTAATTTAATTTGAAACGAGATCAACAAATAGTGTAATGGAAATGAGCAAAACAATAAAAAAGTCTAATCTATCGATCAAATTAATTAATCAACAAAAAATACTTTTTTTTTGCATTTTTTCATTTCTTTTTTTGTAACAAAATTTTAAGCGGTGGCATTGTGTTGCTTGTATTTCAGAAAGACACATTTATGCAACTGGGTCACGGGACATTTGGTTTTGTTATTTGATAGCACTTAGTAGTTGACTGGGACTGAAAGTCTGCGACATTTAGGTACGGTTTATCAGTTTTTGTTTAAAAAAGCTTTGATCGAAATAAAATATATTATGAAGATCATGATTTTTTCAAAAGAAGCAAAAATGGACTGACGATTTGTAAAATCGACACGATTAAAATAAAAACGATCTAACCAAATACTATGGAAGATTTTAGGTTACTTGGGAAAAGGTGGAAAGTACTTTGATATAAAGTTAAAATGGATCCATTCAAACATGCTTCTGAATTCATTTACTAACCCTAAGATATAATTTTGATATGGACCTAATAATGCTTAAATATTAAATAATAACTTTTTAGAGCATCGTTTTTCTATCTGAGATACCTCTTTGTACGTTTGTACAAAATGTACAACTACGAATGATCCAACAGCATGTTTGAACATTTACTAGGAATTATATCACAGAATGAGTGTCAACAAAAATATATAAATAACTATACATTCATCTCGCGATATAATCGAGCAAGTGGTCCACTCGTGAGGATATGAAAGTTTCGAGGAATAACACTTAAATGTATTGCAATAAAGCTGAATATTGTGCGGTTACGTACATATAAGGTTGAGTAAATAGGGTAAATCGTCAGTCTCGAAAATTCAGTAAAATAGGACCCTGTTTTAATAAATAATTGTGGCACGATGAAGTCGAAGACTTTCTTTCCCACGGCGGTGGTGGCGGGTGACGCTCTCTCACTCTTACGCGTGATAAAAACTGCGACAGGAATACTTAAAGTCGCGTTAGTAGACTCACGTGAGCACAAAACGCAGAATGACCCAAGACCAGTGTGGTCTGTTGCACAATTTCGATCTTCAAATATCGATTCTGTGCTCGATTTCGATGCGATCGCGATGGTCTTTACTCGATTAGCGAGTTGGCTTCCCTTCAAGCTGTTACCAATTCCTATCCAACTGGCAATCGAGTCGATGTTATTTTTTGTGTCTTTCTGAGAAACATCAATAAAGTACACAAATATTTTAATAGAGAAATTCCTAAACATTAGCCAATACGTTGGACAAGTCGTAGCCATAGGTAAAGCTTGTGCACGCGATGTCGTTCCCCACACTAATTTAGAGGTGCTAAAACAAATATTACTTTTCATTTTTTTATTATTTTTTGTTATTTTACTCCCTACAGCCTTTGAGTGGATATTAGTTTCAGAATTGAAACAGCTGCATTCCACCTTATTGTTCATTTGAAAAGGGAGGCGTAAGCGTACCTCGAAAGTCATGAGAGCCAGGCGCATGGCAAGGCACATCACATTCTTAACAAAAGAGAAAGATAGTACCTTGCATGGGGCAGAGCGCCTCCCGTGCCTATCGTACAGGCCACGCCTTCGTGACGAGGTGGAATGTTCATGCTCGTCGTACAGACTGAGCCCTAGCATAGGGGGAGACGTGACCTTTCGAGGGGCGTGCCTATTCCTTTTAAAATCCGAAGTCAGGGTCATCTGGGTGTTGTGATCGCGCGAGGCGAGTTTTACAGTGGATGTTTTGAGTGTTTTGAGGTCTGAGGGAGTTGGGGGTGAATGCGAACTTATAGGGGGAGGTGGGGGCATGCAGGACGAGGGGCAGCGCTAGGCGGGGGTCGGGGGGGAGGCCGGGCGATCGTGTCACCGCGAGCCGGCGGGCGCGCCGCGGCCCCGCCGGCCGCCGGGCTTGCCGCGGCGGTTGAAGCCCCTGCGAAACCATTGTACTGTTAGGGATTTGTCACACTGCATGCTTTCTGCGGTCATGTTAAGAGCGTTTACGCCGTTTGGCCAGGCCTGTTCATCTCCGCGAGTTTACATCGAAAACAAAACACGCACGATGGCCCACCTACAGGATACTATTCGACAAGGCCTCACAAACGAGCGAACATTGACTCACGCACGCGTATTCTTGTGTATGATGGAAGATAATAAAGAAAATGGTGTACTAAATACTGTGCAGTATTCAACTGCCTAAGTAATAATAAAAACACAGAATGTACTTTTTTAAGTTGCCTCAAGACACTGAGAGGTAAATAAGTAGTTAATATTATTCATGATAATTCATGCTAAATCATGTATTTCCTCCGCCATTTTCCGCAGTTTGGCACCTCACGTCACATCATTTTACCGAAGTCAGCCCTATAGCTTCGGCGCAGTGCCGATCACTGACGTTTGTCAACAAAATGGTGCTTGACTAAATTGAGACAGGCTAAATTACACCATAGTGTTAATGACATTAAGCATACATTTTTTAAATACCTTCGCGAAGTAAAACTTCTGTACGTAGTACTTATTATTATTCTGTGGTTTGGCGCAAAAACAGTACTTTTTCAACCAGTTACAATCATTAACCAGTTACATTACAAATATGTTATAGGCATAAATAATTAGGCAATTTCGTCGTCTAAATAGTTAGTTGATAAAATATTTCGATTAGTATAGCATTTAAGAATTCTATCAAGATAATTCCACACCGGTTTTCAAATTTCCACTTTAGCGTCAGTTTACAAGCTGAAATTTTTATAAAAATACTGTGAAAACGATATAACAAACATTTATATCGTATAGCATAGGTCATTAGGCAAATAGTTAGTTGAGAAAATTCTTAGATTTAAGCATTTTACAATAAGAAATCACAAATTCAAAGAACGTGAAATACCCAAAAATCAGTGTGATTTTTACACCATTATTCTTCTTTAATTCAAGATAAAAATAGCTCAATATAATAAAATAACATCTTCTTTAAAATATTTACTTGTAATGTAATGTAATTAATTGTTATTGTTTTGCTATAAACATTTGAAAACTATTAAAAAACGCCGCGCGCGAATTATTTCCAATGATGCCCCTTGAAACGCCGCGCTTCGCGTAAACGCTCTTAAAGTCAAAGTAAAAACAAAAATCGTAGCCCACATCATGTATCAACATAGACGGTCAGCGGTCCGGACAAAAAATCTGTCAGTGGCCGTAACTAGGCAATCTATCAGCAGTGGCCGGTGCAACGGTGCGCATCAATACGAAGTCTAATAGGAATGACCTAACCGTAGACTGCATCCAGTGTGACAAACCTTTATCATCATCATCATGCAGCCTATGCAGTCCATTACTGGATGTAAACCTCCAGGTAGCTCCAAAGAGCACGATCAGCGGAAAAACAGCAGACTGTTTTGGATATTTTCGATGTTTATCGAATCGACAAACACTTGAAAACTTTACAATAAGTCTCTTAAGTGTTTTCTATAGCTTATTGTTCTTCCAAGCTGACCACAAAATTTCAAACAATTTGATTTGTGGATCCCTAAAAATCGCAAAAATATTTATATGGAAAAATGAATTTTCGTTAAATTCTCCATTCAAAACGCTAATTTCATAATAAATAAATAGCAGTAAAAACTAGTTCTTACCGGTACGGGCCGCGGTATACCGGAGCGGCCTTGGGTGATCCGGGCGCGGCCTCAGCGGCGGCGGCGCGGGCGAGCGCGTCTGCCTTGTCAGCGTCCTGGCTGGTGGAACCGCCCTGTTCATTTGAACAACAATAAATAAGAAAATAGAAATGATTTATTGACACAGTAAACTTTTATAACAGTAGGTACATGACAAAAAAATAACCGCCGCCCCGGGTGCCAAGCATCAGGGGGTGACACAAGTCGCGCAGATTAGTACTCACTGGTATCAATCTTTGAATCGGTAGGTAACCCCAAAATCCTGGGGGGTACCAGGGGGTGCCTTAGGACTTATGACGGGGTGAGGGGGTTGATCGCCCCGGGTGCCAACCCATGCTACGCCGCCACTGTATTGACATATTTACTCTACTACGCTTATGATATACATTAAAACAATTTATTTTTGATGATGAGCTGTGGTTTTCAGCACCTGTATTGCATCTTCTTGATGACAAGAAGAGTAGGGGAGGGCGGCTGCCCCTCCCCCACCCCCCTGGTAAATCTCGCAGACAAAATATGAACTCGTAGAAAGTGCTACAGTCGCTTTGAAGGAGCTAAGTCAAACGATCTGTACCTCTAGTACGAAAAACTTTCGAGTTCGTTTCGTTGCGTATTCAAAGTGTCATCGAAAAATTTTGTATGAAAAATTAAACAGCGCCCCCTATATTATAGCCGCCCTAGGGGGCGCTGTTTAATTTTTCATACAAAATTTTTCGATGACACTTTGAATACGCAACGAAACGAACTCGAAAGTTTTTCGTACTAGAGGTACTGACCTAAAAAAATCTGGGGCCTAAGCCAGAAGCTAGGGACTTTATGCTTTAATAAAATAATTGTCATAACAACTCACATTCCAGAACCTTTCTGCCCCATCGGCCGTCAGTTCTGCGTACTATGTGCCCTGCCCATTGCCACTTCAGCTTGCTAATCCGTCGGGCTATGTCAGCGACTTTGGTTCGTTTACGGATCTGCTCATTTCTGATTCGATCTCGCAAAGAAACACCAAGCATAGCCCTCTCCATAGCACGCTGTGCAACTTTGAGAATGCAGAAAGGTTCTGGAATGGAGGCCGCGTACCGGAAAATGCAGCGTGGGACGTCCACCTACAAGGTGGACCGACGACATCGTAAAGGTAGCAGGGAAGCGCTGGACGCAGACCGCTGCCAATCGATCAACATGGAAAGCATTGGGGGAGGCCTATGTTCAGCAGTGGACGTCCTATGGCTGAAATGATGATGATGATGAACAACTCACATCGTTATCAGAAGGCGAAGTGATGGTGAGCGGTGGGGGTCCGTTGTCGCCCATCCCGACCACGCCTCCCTTGGCCTTCTGGCGGGCCAGGATCTCGGCCATCTTCTTTTGGAGAGCCTGCGCAAACCATCAATAAGTAAGGCCAGCCGGGCCAGAATGCGCGCCGTAATAGAACTTTATCAATAATTTTAGACACTAATTGCATCAAACAAGTGAGAACTGTAAAATATTACGAAACCCTGGCGATAAAATTCTTAATTTGCTTGTTATTGTTGTTGTTATGCTGAAAATCAGTTTCAAGTCTTGATGTATGCTGAGGGTGCCTTTTTGTCAGAGGGGCACAAGCAGCTATCTGTCCATTTGTATATCTTTCTCATTGTGTACCTTTGTCTTGCTTGCTTGTATGTCTTTCTTTCAAATAAAAAACTATTCTATTCTGTTGGATTTATGGACGCATAATAGAAACTCCTTACTAATATTGTCTATGGGCAATCTCGTCCTTGTCGCGTTGACAGGATGTTCTCATATAGGTATTTTATTATAAAATATAAAGTCTTCAAATTAAGCTTTGTTTAATTTCATCAGGTTATGGGCCCAATATTCTATTATGTTGTCCCCAATGCAAAAATAAAATAAATATTAGACTAGTACAATTATAGGTATAGGTAAATATTAGACTAATCACAAAAACTGTGTTCATTAAACCATTTTCGAAAAGTATCTAAAGGCATTTCTAATATTTCGTTGTTGGCTCCATACAAAAAGTTAAAGTTACACCTAGTAAATACCTTTAACTCAGCAGTCAGACGAAATGGTGGAGCATTGATGGAGTCCACTGGAGGCGGTGCAGATTTCAGCGTCTCGAAGTCCAAGTCCAAACGGCACCGGCATACCGGGCATGTCTGCTGCGGACAGGGCTCTTAGTTAATTTCAATGGTTAATAGTGCCATTTCAATTTTGTATTTCATTTGTCAGATTTGTGTGATGTGCAATAAAGAGTATGTACCTTTCAAGACATTAATGCCCGTTTTCACCATCAATCCCTAATTTTTAAGTGACCCCTATGGTGACACATAACAGGCATTTTGTTTTCATAGGGGTCACTTAAAAATTGGGGATTGATGATGAAAACGGGCATTAATGTAACAATTCTTATGGGCAAAGAAGTGGCAAATTGGGAACAGGTATGTTGTAGATAAAATGTGTTGATGCAAGTTTTTTGTGTTGCCAAATTGCTAACCAGTTGAACATAATATTTGTGATTGTGCCCGGTGCTTACAAGATTAAAATGTATGTAATAATGTAGAAAGAAATTCCATAATGCGTATTGTATGTGTGTATGTGTATAAAAATGATGTGGCTATAATGTTCCAAGTTACATTTTAAAGAATTATTGAAAAAATAATAAGATTCAGCATAGCCATGTTTGTTAATCTTCTTAAATAAACTCGCATTTGCTTTATTATAGGCGTCATGTGAAGTATGGTGCAGGTATCATAAATACTTGACAACTAAATGGTCATTTGGATTAGCCAGCAGCAACATTTCAACTTCAACTACAAAGAACAAAGAGAGTTGATCTAAAAGCTATTAAAAGACTCACCATCTCATAAGTCTGATACTTAAATTGATTAAGTAATTAATTTAAATTATGAAAACAACTCAAAAACTTGTATTCTAATTTCATCAAAGTTTCTAGCAACATTGCTCTAAGTAACAATGTTCTAATTTAAAGATTATAAAAACTACAACCGGAGGTTTCGATAACAAAATTAAAGATGTGAATCGCTGCACGAACAAAGTTATAATAAAGCAAGAATAAATATTTTTCCGAGTCACAGGATGATCTTACCTGGTGTTTAGGTGTATCAGCCTGCTGCCAACTGGGCAGTCTGTCCACCGCATCTTGATACCAGTTCTTGCCGGCCTTTAGGTGGCAGGCCAGGCAGTAGCTATGGAAGTAGTGGTAGCACTGCGTCTTGATGAAGACGTCTCCCTCCACGAAGTCGAACAGACAGATCACACATTGCCCGCTCGGCAGATTGCTTCGAGTAAGATTTTCACGGATGAGCTGAAAATTTATAATTTTTTAAAATAATTATCCAATCACTACATTGTTATTGTAATTGAATGTAAGGCTTAAAGGCATTCACTTTTTTAACATAAATAGTGCTAAGATGTTACGATCAATATTAACTGAAAGTTATATAGAAGCTCACCTCTATAACTTCATAAACTACAGGTTGCCCCAAGTTATCCTGCAACTTCTTATCGATTTGTGTATGAATGGACTTAAGGACTTTGTCATCAAGACCTCTTGGGTTTCTCAAGAGCACCTCGGGGCTGACATCTGGGTAGCCAGAGACCAAACGAACTTCTAACGTAACACAAACAAATTGTTGATCAACGTCGTCACCCGTAGATGGGTGAACGACATATTCGATACTATCTGGGCCATCTTCAGTTTTTTTCACTACAAAATCATCCATCAAAATGGCTTTAAGAGCTTCAAGCTCATCAGAAATTCTGTAAAAAAGCAAAAACATTGTAAAAAACGCAATAAAATCAAATTTTCAATGTTAAAATCACAATATTACATACCTTTCATCTACCGGGGACGACATATGGTGTCCGCAATATATCTCGATCGAGTCTAACTAGTGCATGCAATTGCCAATAAGTTGAGGCAGGCGCAATGCAGATGCTGCACCCGAACAGCTGGGAAATGGCTGGGAATTCAGGGTTATGTACCTATTCACGGCAAAAATCAATCACGATGAGAGAGGCACAGATAACGCAAAATTATAGAGGAATTCTCTATGCTCTATGTTATCTATGAACGGAATGGACAATAATGGACATATAGATGACCCACGCTGAACTGTCCCGCCAAACTCAATGACAGGGGGGCGCTACCATCGTTCAACTTTATGGTTTCCAACATGGCAAAAATCGGAACCAGCGATTCGGTATTGACGGTGGCGCCCCGCTGTCAATGTCATCGATAGGACAGTTCAGTATTTTGGAACTATAGCCAAATTATATTATAGATGACCCACGCTGAACTGTCCCACCAAACTCAATGACAGGGGGGCGCTACCATCGTTCAACTATATGGTTTCCAACATGGCAAAAATCTGAACCAGCGATCCGGTATTGACGGTAGCGCCCCACTGTCAATGTCATCGACAGGACAGTCCAGTATTTTGGAACTATATCTGTGGCCAAAGGTAAGTAGGGTCAGGGAGGCAACAGTGACTCACTTTTTTTTCGAAGCTTAATAAAAATAGATATCGCTTTAATATTGGCCTAAAATTTGCTCACATTTTAGATACACTATTGAACTGTAACTGAGCACTCATGATTCTACATTATTTACTACTTATGTCAAATTAGGAACCTAAAACAAAAAAATGATAATTGAGCCACTGTGGACTACTAGGTGTACACACTGACTCACTACCGTGGTACACAGTATTAACGTGGTAAGGCAGTATTTATATGAAAAGAAAATGCCCATTCCGCGTAGTTTTTTATTAGAAATAATAACAAAACTGCACAAGCTATTCTTATTATAATCAACAATTCAACACGACTCTTAGTACTTTTATTGCTACCTATAAGATCTTAAGTCATCTCAATCTCTTCGTTATTTATTTTTTCCCTATTTTTCTGTCGGTTTTTTTCCGTGGCATTCTGTGAATAAAAAACAAAATTCGATTTACAGTTATAAAATATTGAATTCGTATAAAGTATTAAAATTGAGTCACTGTGTACTTCTACGCCATTTTGTAAATATTTGATCAAAAAAACCAAGATGTAAAACAAATTAGTCAAAATTCGGATTAAAGACAATTGATACAAGACCTACTATCCGATAAATATAACGGCTATTACCTATAGCAACAAACAAAGATATGAAAACAATCGAAACTCACCTTAGAATGTAATTTAGAGGGCGCGAAAACAAAAAACATTCCCTCACCCTTCCGCACGGCACTTGACCGGCGAGCAAACTGGTTTAAACGTGTTCGGGTACAAAGACCTTTGAATCGGTAAAAGAGACAAATATATATTCCTATGCCTTCAGGTCGAAACATGACTGAGCCACTGTAGCCGACCGAGTCACTGTTGCCTCCTTGACCCTACCTATAGTTCCAAAATACTGGACTGTCCTGTCGATGACATTGACAGTGGGGCGCCACCGTCAATACCGGATCGCTGGTTCAGATTTTTGCCATGTTGGAAACCATATAGTTGAACGATGGTAGCGCCCCCCTGTCATTGAGTTTGGCGGGACAGTTCAGCGTGGGTCATCTACAGGGTGTTAGGTAAATGGGTATATGAGCCGACACTAACCCATGTTAACATGGCCATATAAATGGTATGGTGAAGTCGGAAATTTGATATCATCATTTTATTTTTTTTAATTTTCATACAAAATAAATTTTATAAAATCCGATTTGTATGAAAATTAAAATAATTAAAATGAAGATATCCATTTTCTGACTTCACCATACCATTTAGATGCCCATGTTAACATGGGCTAGTGTCGGCTCATATACCCATTTACCTAACACCCTGTATACAGAGTACAGTGACAGCACGTCAACGTAAACACTGTAGTATCTTACGTAGCGATGGGGGCGACTTTGCAACGAAAATGTATAGCTTGAGGTGCTGTCGACTGTACATAGGACTTTCTTTCTCGGAAACCTTAAAACTGATACAACGCCATCTATGAACGGATGTACTAAATATTATCTAATGTAAGCATCGAACATTTCCGAAAAGCTCCGTAGCATAGAGAAAAGTAATACATAGCTCCGTAGCGTGTCGTTGGTGTCGTGGTAAGTACTAAGTGCTTGCTGCTGTAAGTGTTTGCGAAAGCCATAGCCTCTACGTAAAAAAATTTTCTTACTCTTATTATAAAAACTAATCTGTATAAAGTAATGTAGCCCTCCATAAAAATTTTTTTGCAATATCTCAACTTGGTCACAAAGTTATAAGCACAATATTAAGAGGTCTTCTTATTAGTATGCAAATTGCAAATAAACGATTTGATTTGATTCTTTGTCGTTTTCAAACAACACCATTAATACTTATTATTATTTACGCAGCGACCAACGGATACAGCCTGAGACTTCAGTGAAATAATGTCACTGAAGAGCCTTGATCTGATATGAAATTTGAAATGTGACGTGACGTGACTGTGTGTGTAAACCGTCTAACGGTCAAAGTGAATCTTCACTATAAAAACATTTCTGAAAATGATACACAATAAAAGTGTACTTTACTACTTTTAGGGTAATATAAATTGGACCCATTTATGCAAACAGGAACCAACCCACACTTTGAGTGAAATTGAGTTAAGTACATAGATGGCGCTCAAATAACGCATTCTATCTTCAAAAAAATTATGGTACATTTTTAACGACTAACAACAGAGATACAGCACTGTCACTTGCGGAACCAACCCGCTTTGGCCAACTTTTAAAAACTATAAAGAACTATACAGCATGGTCCCTAAGCACTTATTTAAACTAATTATGCAAACTAGAACCAATGTTGGTTGGTTCCATTTAGCAAATTTGTTACAAAATTTTTATAACTAAACAGAACCAAAGATTGTTTGCTTAGTGGAAATCAGGTTAGTCTTGAAGGAACCATATAGCATAGTTCTTGATAGTGTTAAAATTAAGCTATTTAAAAATAAAAAATCCGTTCTTATCGTTGCGTTTGTACCTTTATCATAAAAAATGTCTTAATAATAACAAAATTTGATGAATAAATTTATGCATTGAAAAACTCTACTCGAAAAAGATGAAACGAAGCAGTATGAATAGTATGATCTATGACCTTAGCCTGTTCTTCAAAACGAAATAACGACGTTGACAGTACTTTTACCTACCCCTACTCACTTCATTTCACTCAGAAAAAAAAGTACGTAGATCTACGTATTTTCTATATGGAAATTGTACCATTTCTACGTAATTTTCTAATCGGTCCTACGACTTTTTCAAAATCCGAGTTGGCAACACTGCCTGGCATGGTCCTGGCCTGGCAGACAGGAAAAGTTTGCCCAATGAAACAATAAAGATGTTATCGAATGTGTATCAATCGTCGTTATATTAACACATCACCTCTCGTTCAAATCTGATTGGGTTATTCAAGGGTATGATTTTCAGGGACGCATCGTGTATTTACCTTTCAGGTAAGCTTTAAGTAGGTAGGTAGGTACTGAATATTTTTCGGCATTATAGAGAGTGGTCATTAAATGGAGAGAAAAACAAGATAATAATTTACTATTCTATAACATTTGTTTATTTCACATAGTTAAATGTCTTACGGTATAATGAGTACCTACAAACTTCTACATAGCTTGGGGCGCGAGACTGCAGCTGTGTGCTCAGATCATATCCCTTCTATGATCTGAGCTGGTGTCTGATAAAGGTAGGAAAAAACTCGTACTCCAGGTCACCAGTGTTCCACCACTCCACCCCCAAGTTGATCGAACACAATGAAAAGTACTTAATGATACCTAGGTAATAATATTTAATAATAGAACACAATGAAAATAATGCGACTACATAATCGCCGAAAAAGTAGCATGACGTGTGCTCGCCTTAAAATAATGCTGCGTTTACAGCATTAGTGTAGGGTAGAGACAGAAAAATAAGATATTATTTTACCTAATATTCTACTTTATTATGAATAAATCTACATTATTATTTCCATATCTCACTTACAAATGATTAAGGTATTTGTTAAGTAGGTAGGCAACTTTTTAACTTAATTTTAAGTGATTAATTCATGTAAACACAGAATTTATAAGCCTTGCAAGTTAAATTTAATATTAATGGTAAAAAATTAAATGATAATAATACATTGATCAGACTGATTGCTTATAAATAAGTAATTTACAGATAACACGTCATGAAAATAAAACAACGCTCATGCTCTTAAATTCATGCCTGCCTATTCCTTTGACTACTAGATTTTCTTATGTTAGTGCTATCCATTGAAGATTCCTGCGCCTGGGACTTCAGGCAACGAATGCTGATATTAAACCTGTAATAAAGAAAATTGAATTAATGAAACACCTTTAAATATGACACACTTATAAAATTGTTTTTTTTTCTAAACTGAAAAAGATAAATAAAATTAATTAAAAATGACAACGCTTAGGTAAATGTTTATTATTTAACAATTATTATGTGATCTCGTAAAAAAAAAATCAGTAAAAGCTTTATCTTCTATGGCTTCGTTCACCGTCCCCAAATACTTACAGTGTCAAGTAGGGTAACTTCCGCCCTCAGATCATAAAAAGAAATCCCTTCTATGATCTGAGCTTCCACCACAGGCCGTGGAGGCCGCCACCAACCGGCCATTGTGGAAATCATTGGGGGAGGCCTATGTTCAGCAGTGGACGTCCTATGGCTGAAAATAATGATGATGACGATGGTGGAAAAGAAACTTACCTCTTACAAAGTAGTCTCAGAACACTCTTTTGGCATACGCAGGTAATGAAAAGTATGATCCCTAAAATGATGTTACTGAAATCCAAAATAAGATCCATGGTTCTGGAAAAATCCACATACGCCCCAATAACGTCCACGATCCAGTTGAGGCCGGTCAACAGTGAGAGCTTAGCATAAATAATATACCTGAAAAACAAGCGGCGATTAAAATTCCAGTTGTAGCTCTGGATAAAGATAAATTCCAGAGTCAGTTTTGGAATAGGTAGAGTTTCCAGCCATGTTAATCCGATCTTTATTAACCACCAGAGGGCTTAGTGTGAGTTTATATCAAACGTCGTCACTAGTGAGCGCGTAAAAAAATCATTTAGAATTTAGGTAGGTATGTATGACGTACAGTGTCGTACAGTCATGGAATGAAAAGGTTCGTCAGTTTTCAAATTGATTTCTTCAACGAATCGCGAGCACATATTACCTTTTGAAACTATGATACAGAATAATCTCGAGTTAGAGAAAATAATTTAACTGTTCTTCAGTAAAGTTCAAAATTATTCAGATCAAAGTTGTTTGACGATTTATCTTGTCAAGATTATTATGATTGATAAACTAAAACCTTCGTGTTGGTTCAACCTGCCATTATTATTTCTATTAAATAAAAAAAAAACTACATTTTGTAACATTGCATGGGATAGAAAATTAAACAAGCAAAACCTTTTTCGTTAGCAAACATCATATTTATTTAAATGTTAGCAGCACTGTTTCTTGCACTGTTATGTTGGCAGGTTTGACTCTTACAGTACCTAGTGCAAGCGAAAACCGACACTAAGGTGACGAACCTTTTCATTCCTCGACTGTACAAGCGCCCCTAGCGGAAACGTTCAAGAACTAAAATTTTCATTTTTTTTTAACGCGCTCGCTAGTGACGACACTACGACGACATTCAAATGCACTAAGCCCTCAAAACTTTAGCCCGCAGAATGGTAGTTAAGTGGCAGTGGGCAGCTGTACTTAAGCGTACAGCTTAGAACTTGTCCTAAAAACAGAAAACAGAAGCGTAGGTGTAGCTTAATTGAAGGTTACATACATGTTTTTATTTTGCTTCGTATTCTTGCTCTCTGGACCGGAAAAAGTGTTATTGCTGTCCTTTTTTTTCATATAAAGAGAATAAAGCGTCATCAAATAGAATATCACGTTGATACATGACATTATCGTAATGGGAACGTACAGATAATATAATGTAGCGTTTTCTGAAAGGGAAAATTAGAATATTATGTGGAAGTACTAAATGTATTTTCTCAAGCCCATTACTTATATTATCATTTTAGCGAGCTTATCTTTAAAGAATTTCTTTCAGACCCAGCTGATAAAAAGGAGATGTAAGGTATTGAAAACTTTTTACAATATTGTGAATAGTCTCACACATGTATGTAAGTTGGGAAAACAGCGCAAATAATGGACGACAAATTATCCTCGTTATTATAATTTTAGGTAGGTATTATCTGGACCTATTTCGTTTACAAGCATGAAATATGTTTTTGCAATCCCATGCTCTCTTCCTCACCTGAAAGCATGCAGTCATAGAATTTCGGTTTTATTTTGATAAATTTAGGGTTTAATTCTTCAATGAGCACGGCACCGACTAGCATGAGTAAAGGCATGCCGAATCCATATAGACAAGCCTGGAGAAATTTGTGCGGCTGTGTTGTCACTTGCTGATAATTGGACCTGTCGAACATTGTTAAATTGAAACGAATAAGGTTATTAAACCTACCTAAGGTTACCACTTCAGGAAATCATTCAATTTTGTGAAAATAATATTATTCCACAAAGGTCTGTTTTTTACCCAAACGGGGAAGCTTATCCTGTATCTCACCCACGTGATGGAAAAGGAAGGTGGAAGCGAGCTTAACCCGGAATCCTCAATCTTGCCTCAAAGAACCTGCCATCATAACTTGTTGATAAGGACGACAACTTAGGACGTAGCTTAGCTCAAATCGTACCCGGGACTTTGAGTCTGAGACGGGTGGTGTTAGCACAAACTAGACTAAATTTTCTTTTAAAACGTGATAAGATTTTTCTTACCTTACAGCTCTCCAAACTTTATAGGACATCACGTTCGACCAAAAAAAACAGGCCAAAAACGCGTATAAAAGCCCCTCGCCTGAGAAAACATTGAATTGTTTAGTTTGCAGTTTGCACACAACTTTGGAAAACTGAGTTAGCTATGCCAGCTAAGCTAGAATAGAATGGACTTTATGGAACACAGTGAGCACAATTTATAAACAATAACGCAACACGAAAAGAAAAAAATAATAGGCTCTCCATCCTGTTCAGAATTTATCTTGACATGCTCGTAAGGTAAGTGCATGTCAAGGAGCTGGTCTTCCGCGGAAGCCCTTATTATATTTTTGAGCAATTCGCAGGTCATTTCAAAAATTAAATACTCAATACTCAGTCATCATCATCATCATCATCATCATCAACAGCCCTTTACAGTTCACTGCTGGACTGCATAACCACATTTAGGCAGTTATACATTATAATAATATAATGTGGACCCAGTTAGGGCACAGCAACTTTAGGAAAAGAAATTAATGTAGGTACAGTCACGGAATGAAAAGGTTCGTCAGTTTTCAAATTGATTCCTTCAACGAATCGCGAGCACTTTTTACCTTTTGAAACTATGTTACAGAATAATCTCGAGTTAGTGAAAATAATCTTTAACTGTTCGTCAGTAAAGTTCAAAATTATTCAGATCAAAGGTGTTTGACGATTTATCTTGTCAAGAAGATTATTATGATTGATAAACTAAAACCTTGTTGGTTCAACCTGCCATTATTATTTCTATTAAATAAAAAAACTATTGTCAATAATAGGTCAATGTCATCATTGCATTGCACTGATGGGATAGAAAAATAAACAAGCAAAACCTTATTCGTTAGCAAACGTCATATTTATTTAAATGTTAGCAGCACTGTTTCTTGCACTGTTATGTTGGCAGGTTTGACTCTTACAGTACCTAGACCTAGTCAACCTAGTGCAAGCGAAAACCGACACTAAGGTGACGAACCTTTTCATTCCGCGACTGTACATTAATTTTTCTTTTGAAACTATTAAGATCGTATAAATTGAGTTTGGTGGAAATGTCATTATTAAACGATTCAATAATTATAAATTAAAAATACAAGTTAAAAAGTAATGACCGCAAGCAAGCAAAAAGTTAATTACAAAACTAAAGCGAGTCGGACTTACTGAAAATTTTACATGCGGTGCTTGTAAAAGTTTTAAGCATCAATATCTGGACGGCCTTCAGCGAAAAGGTTGCTGTCAAACATGCTACATAAGCCAGTAGTATTTTTCCATATTGCGAGCTACGGAGCTTCTTGAACATTGAATATATTACTATGACCAGGGCCATGAAGAAGCAGGATATTATAATTACTGAAATAAAGAGTAACGGTTAAAATTCAAGTTGTTGCAGTCTGACTTTAAATAAATATACCTACTATAGGCGAGTCTTCATAAAGTGCTCATAATGAAAATGGGTGAAACTGGCATTGAAGGAAACTAGACCCATTTTTATCAAAGGATAAAATGACAAATAAATCTGAGATTTTTTTAAAGAAATTATAACTTTTGAACTAAGAGGTACCTACCTATATCCTGATAAAGTAAAAACAGATACCCAATATGGTAATTTATCAAGTGATACTAATAAAATAACATAAAAATACCCAAAAAAGGCAACAAGTAAACCTCTCTGACTATCAATTTGGACATTACTAACATAACACATGCTCTCAATTGTTTTGTAACAAAAATCTCGCTCCCCTAAGCCGTTCCCACCAGAGCCAGAGTAAATATACAAATGAGTAGATCATCTTCATAGAAACGCACCGAGCGCGGTTTGTATGTGAGCGCGCGCCAATACGTATGCGGCGTATTAACTCTGCCAGAGTGTGTTAAGAGAAGCGATTCTACATATTGTTATTTACAAATACATCACTCGCTCGCTACACATCCTCTCACATCTCTGACCGAAACGCACCCTTTTGGTACGATGGATTGTGGACGGTTTACCTATGGCTTTACACAATTTTGACGTGAAGTCTTCGTCTTCTTCTTCTCCTGTTAGTTTTCTGACCTTCAGCATGGGCTCCGTCCATGTCCCGTCTTTTCGCTGTGATGTTTTGTATTCTACGATGAAGTTGCCAGGTTCTATTCGGTCATCTCCAATTAACACTGATCCGTCCTGCAAGGAGATACCAGTTGGATATAAAATTAATGAAGTACATTTTTTTTTATTTTCTTAAACTTTGTTTGTTAACTAAGTACGTTTTCCGGCCCGTGGTTGTAATTCGAGAACTTTTCTGCCCCGGCGGCCATCAGCTTTGCGAGCTATGTACCCTTTCATCTTTGTTTTAGCAATTACACTTTTTGGTTCTCCTGCTGCGGATCCCCACATTTCTGATTCGATCACGTAGGGAAACTCCGAGCATATCAACAACGCCTTCAGAATGCTTTTGAGGCTGCCGCGGTTCTGCAGCGCCTCGGGAATGTTCGCGGACGCACGGACAGACGGGTTCCATGCGATAATGCGTAAAAAAGCCTCGTCGCTGCTACGCCGCATAAGGGTCAGCAACAACAGCATTCTGAGGACAATTATTGCACGTCCTGACTGTCCTATCCAAACACATTGGATACAATTATCTATGGGCCAAATAAAATGAAAACTAAAAGTAATGTGCACTAACTCAACTAACATAATATAAGGAAAAATTGTTACTAATCCCTACTAACAAACTATGGATGAAAGTCTGAAATAAATTATTTATTATTATTCCTTTATTCATCTTACTTTCTTATTTTTAATTTTTTCTTTTTACAATGTAATTAATATCAAAAAATAAAAATACATTATAAAAACAAAAATCTTAAAAATAGTTAACCCGCTGGCAGCGGAGCAGGGCCCAGGCTACCGGTGGTCAGGGTCACAGGCTGAGGAACCTCCGGACAATGCGTGCCGTGCTGAGGATCACCGCCTTTTGAATCTGACCCTTGAGCCAACCATCTAGCGAGAGCTTCTTTAGATGTTGGTCGAAGCTCTTCGCTATTAGCCCGTTTGCCGAGACAACTATCGGGACAATGATCGTCGAGTCAACATCCCACATGGCGGTCACCTCGTGGGCCAAGTCAAGGTATTTGCTTTGTTTTTCCTTTTCGGCCTTCACGAGGTTTTCGTCATGCGGGATGGTGATGTCAACGAGCACTGCCCGACGTTGGGATCGATCAACCACCACAATATCAGGTTTATTACAGACAATAGTCCTGTCTGTGATGATAGACCGATCCCAATAGAGCAATGCATGACCATTTTCAAGAACTGGCACCGGCTGGTACTGGTAATATGGCGACTCAGATTCAAGAAGGCCGTACTGAAGAGCAAGTTGCTGGTGGATGATTCTGGCTACTAGGTTATGCCTGTGCAAATACTCACCGTTAGCAAGATGCGAACAACCAGAAATTATATGCCTGAGTGACTCTCCGGGACGGTGGCATGCTCGACAAATGTCGACCGTACCGTCTTTCAGGATATATTTTCGATAGTTGTTCGTCATCATTACCTCGTCAGCAATTGCACAAGCAAAACCCTCGGTTTCCCCGAAGAGGTCACCGAAGCGTAGCCAGTTCACCGAGGCGAGGAGGTCCACATCGGGACCTGTTAGGGTCCGATAGAACCTCCCGTGCAGCTCCTTGCTCTTCCATACGTCCTTCCGATCCGCGACGCTCAGTACCTTTGGCTTGCGCCAGTTCTCGTTCGCCAAGGAGAGCGGCGTGAGGCCTTTGTCAACTGCCACAACATCGCGATGCATTCCGCACTCATTGGTAAGGAAATAATCCCTGAGATTGCACACTTCACGGTTGTGGAGGTTCTTGGCATTTAGAAAGCCTCGACCTCCCCACTTCCGTGGAATGTACAGTCTCATTACAGATGAGCGCGGATGTAACATGCGATGTTGTGTAAGCTGCTGACGTACCTTCCTATCCAGGGCATCAAGCTCAGTCTGAGTCCATCTTAGTATGCCGAATGAGTATATTAGTAGAGGCATCACCCAACCGTTGAAAGCTCTTGCTTTGTTGCCGCCAGACAAAAGGCTATTAAGAACTTTTGTCAGACGGCTACAAAAGCGTTCTTTCACCGATTTTTTGATGTCTTCTACCGATATACCTAACGATTCTGACATACCAAGGTACTTATAGGTCTCAGTTTCGGAGAGAGATTTGAGTGTCATTGTCTCAGAAAGTTGTAAATTCGGAGAATTCACAACTTTTCCCCGCTCTACATGTAAGACCGCACACTTGTCTACACCAAACTCCATCCTGATGGCGTTGCTAAATACCTGTGTGGTTTTTATTATTATTATTATATCACGCACGGACCGACGATCTGGTGAGGGTCGCGGGAGGTACCTGGATGCGGACGGCGCAGGGCCGGTCGTTGTGGAAATCATTGGGGGAGGCCTTTGTCCAGCGACTGCGTATAAAAATGACATTAATTAGTATGACATATTGGGCAGCGCCCCTAGCGGCTACTTTCAAGAAACAAAATCTTCATAGAGATTTTTGACGTAATCGCTAGCGAGCACACCTAACGTAAACTCATGGTAGGTACACTGAGGACGTCATTTGGCTGAATCGAACGAACGATGTTAAAGCCACAACGAGGGAGCTCTTTGCCTACCTGACATGCATCACCTGATAAAAAGTGATGATTAGGCCAAAGGTGGAAGCTAGCTTCACTCGGTAACTCGATTTTACAGTACATAAAAATAAATTATGGTCATCATCATCATCATCAACAGCTCTTTACAGTCCACTGCTGGACTATGAGCCTCCTCCGCTATAGTGGAGGGTTTAGCCATAAAGTCCCCACGCTTGGCAGGCGGGTTGGAGATCGCAGTTTAAAAGATTGATGTTTTACAGAGAGCGCTGCTGCCCGTTCTCTTTTTGATGTGTAGTCCCTAAGTCGCCTCTTACGACACCCGTGGGAAGAGTAGGGGTTGGTGACAAATGTATTCTACTCTGCCACCACACGGCGAAATTATGGTATTGAATATTATTACCTCCAACAGATGTGCAGGATCAACAAAAAAATCCGTCACACATTTGTCCTTTATCAACTTGTTAAAATTTTTGATTCGGATATAACTGATGTTAGATTTAATTTCATTCGACGGGGTTTTTGTTAAATCGTGTATTTTATTCCATGGGAATGGATTCACTGTCATGTTTAACTTCTTACTAACGTCATCGTAAGTCGTACATACTGCGTTAACTAGCATAGAGTTAGACTTTACACACAAACGAAAAACACAAATTTTATCTTTGCAGAAGTCATCTTTATCAGGCAAGATTTTTTTTGTTTGTATATCTATAATTTCTTTGACATCACATTTTAACTTTGCACAGCTTATTTTTACACAAATGCACAGTGACAGAGACACGATAATTTTCCACATTGTGAACTTGTTCAGCGAGCAGTATGCCGTGAACTGGCGAGTTAAGGAAATAATAATTAGGGAAATAAATGTGTCATTTACAGAATTGAATTTACTGTATTTATTTTACATAAGGATGACGTCAAGTCACGATAGAAGGCCTAGTAGTCCAGTCAATGAATGCCTTAACGACGGTGTAGAGAGAAATCCGTGGAACACAATTTCTGACCTCGGGACTTTATTTAGCCTAGTTAGGAGGTGAACATAGCAAAAGTCCCCGCCCTTAGCTTGCCGGCGGGGAGAGGGGGGTTTAAAGGTACCACTTTTCGGTTTTTCGCTTAATCCTCGGAAACTATGCGTCCTAGTGACATGACTACTATGAACCAAAAAAAGCTTATTCAATTTGCTACAGGTGAGACCGTCAAGTTTTTCTATATCTTGTATAGTTTTTGCGGCATCTGCTCTAGAAGGTCTGTAAAATTGGAAATTTTATTGTTGTCTTACATGTTCCTTTCAGGAGAAAATCGACTAAATCAACATTGAGCAAACACTATAGACATGCGGGAGCATGTTAAGCCTAGTTCCATGGAGGGGACTGCACCGTGCGTATATTTAGACGAACCAATTAGAGCCACTTTTGACTCCTCATCATTCAAAAACTACTGTGCATTAACACTTCAAATTTGGCTCATGTATTGAGACTTGCAAGATGTACATCAGCTTCAAATTTCATAAATATACCTCAAACGGTTATTTAGGTATTGACGTTCAAACGGACGAACAACGGACGAACGTTCGAACGGAACATGTAAGACAAAAATAAAATTTCCCATATTATAGACCTTCTAGAGCAGATGCCGCGAAAACTATACAATTTATAGAAAAACTTGTCCATCTCATCTGTAGCAAATTGAATATGCTTTTTTTGGTTCAAAGTAGTCATGTCACTAGGACGCATAGTTTCCGAGGATTAAGCGAAAAACCGAAAAGTGGCACCTTTAAACCCCCCTCTCCTCGTCAGCTCAAGGGCTAAGGGCGGGGACTTTTGCTATGTTCACCTCCTAACTAGTCTAAATAAAGTCCTGAAGTCAGAAATTGTGTTCTACAGTTTTCCATCTATAATGCTTTATTGACTGGACTATAGATCAATAAGGTCTCCACTGAAAAACAGTTTCAAGACAAGCCCTGGAGGTCTACAAGCTTGACCGCCATTAAAAACCCTAACCAGTGAAGGAAAGTTAACTGTCATTGGACCCGCAACGAAATTAATCAGAAGAACAAATATTTTGAAGTTCATTTCGACTTCCCTCCAGTGCAAAGCGGATGACAGAAGTAACCTTTAAGAAAAGATATGCAACACGGACAGTAAGCATCAATTAGTATTATGGGGATATATCCTGCCAATGGTGCTTTTTTCACAAAATCGCTTAAAAGCACGGACTTTTTTTGTCACGAAAATAGTCCAGTCATTTGGTGCAAAATAGTGGCTTTTCTTTTCGGGTTAATTTTATGACAAAACATGCTTAGAGAAACTAAAAGTAGAGAAAATGTCCTATATTTGAGGTCTACGTAACCTTTTTGTGAAATAGTTTAGGCGTAGGAGTGCCGCAAAGTACTTCTATTGTCGCGGGAGGTGCGATTTATTTGATGTCGAGTGTATTTTGCGGCGCCTACCCAAATTCTCTGTTTTGCCTAACTTTCTGGTTAGCTGGAAGAGAATGCCACATGGCATTAAGCTCGCCTGTTGTACTACTATTTATTATGCGTGCAATAAAGATTTTAAATAAATAATTAGTTCCGTGATTTAGACGCAAAAAGTGAAGTAGACAAAAATTATTAATGTAGTGTGTTATAGAATGCTGTTTGTTTTCCTAACAATAAAATAAAAAATAAAAAATGAAAATAAAATTACAGTTTACATAACTAGATTAAATAAATCCACTGTTGGTGTGCCCATCATGAAATAGGACATTAAAATTAAATGAGGAAGACCATGCCTGAAATGCCATGAAAACCACATTGTAAGATAATGAACTCACATAATGTTATTATAATAATAAATAGAAAGGAATTCCAAATGGTGAGTTGTAGCTGCTGTAGAAAATAAGCCTTTAGATACTCCTAAAAATTTTACATCATCACCATCAAAAAGGACAGTTTTAGAGAGCCGTTTCGAAAAAAGAATTGGTTTCTTTTTAAAATATCAATTTTATTATGCACTAGCGGCCGCCCGCGACTTCGTACGCGTGGACCCCGTTTTACCCTCTTTGGGTTGAATTTTGCTCGGCAATTATTCGAATTTTTCTCGCCGTAAAAACCATCAGGACTTCAACGGTAAAATTGGTCCAGGTGTTGTTGAGTTATGCGCTTACCAACACATTTTGCAATTCATTTTTACATTATAGAAGATAAAAAAAAATGATACGACCATGCTTATTGCCTGACCCTGGGATCATCTAAGGGCTCTTTCCCAGTCAATCCAGTTTGCGGGATCTTGTATCTCATAAATTCGAACGGATCGGTTTTTTATGGCACACTATAAATGGGTTGTTCGTATGAATATTTAGTATAGAGTCCGATCAACGAAGCTTTTGTAACCTCGTCCCGTCATTCACATCATTTTGTATGTAATTGTATTTACATCACAAAAGTTACACTTGAAGTTTGCTTTATATCACTTTTTTGATGATTTCCTGGTTATTTTCACTAAAACATAACTTTTATGAATTTTGACTGATTGGTAAAATTTTAAATCAGGCAAAACCTTTTGTTTTGACCGATTATGAGTTTTGACTGTAACATATCGATGACAAACAAAATGTTGTTTTCATATTAGTTTAACAATAATTTTGATATACCTATTTTAACTGTAACAATACGAGGATAAGTGTTAGGTATTAAAGATAGCACATAGCAAATATTATGTGGTATCAGTTTGTACTGAATATTAAGGAAACTGGCACGTACATACAGAAATTCAATTTTGGGTCATCCTGTACATGACGTGACGACGTGTATTTTTGAATTGAAAAAAAAAAAAAAAAAATGTCAGACCGGGGTCCATAATCGTGTTAGTAACAATTTTCACTTAGCATATGTTAGTAAGATACAAATAATGAATATGAAGCCGCTTACATAGCACTGGAGACGTGCAAACTAAGCCAGCGCCCCAGCAGCGGCGAGTCCCACCTGTCAGCCAATGCCCTCAGGATGCCATTTGTACTGCCGCGGAGACGCTCTAGAAGCGATGCGCTTCGCTTCCGGATTATCGCTTTTATTACCGATTATATTTTATTTTAAGTCTTTGAAGTAATATTACTACGTAGTACATTATAACTCAATGCTTTAAGTTTTGAAATTCGTTCACTTTTTAAAAATAAATACGGAACCCTAAAAAAGTCTCTGCGCGCGTGTATGCATACAATGTACTAGGGCATGTAATATCGGAAGGTTTTCAATTCCGATATTGGATTCCGATATTAGATCTCAATATCGGAATTCCGATATTAATATCGGAATTGAGTTCATGTGCTATAAAATTAATATTTGGTTATATTCGTAAGAATTCTGGGTTGTTTACAATAAAATAATGATTTTAATCAAAATCTATAATTTGGTACAAAACAGCACTTCATAAAATTGAAGTATTTCAAAACAATTTTTACGTTATGGGTATCCATTGCATTTGGTTTTTTATGTGACAAGAGGCAAACGAGCAGACGGACCTAGCAAATAATTAAAGATACCTAAGTGTTTTTGTAAAATCACAGGTATTAAACAAACTTTTACTCCTTCATTATATTACCCTGTTTTATGTTGGAGGAATGAATTTTAGTCATTCAAATCACGTGTTACAAAAATTTTAGAGAGTGGTAAAAAACTTAAATATGCTTGTTATTTGTTCCTTTTTCATTATCGATGTACAATTCACAAAACCACGAGCCATCATCATCATCATATCAGCCATAGGACGTCCACTGCTGAACACAGGCTCCGATGCTGATTTTCACAATGGCTGGTTGGTGGCGGCCTGCATCTAGCGCCTTCCTGCTACCTTTATGAGGTCGTCGGTCCACCTTGTGGTTATGAGTCCTACGCTGCGCTTTCCGGTACGTCGCTCCACTTCAGAATTTTGCTGCCTCATCGTCCGTCTGTTTTGCGTACTAAGGCAGAACCGTTGGAAGACATTATCACAATGCTCGAAGACCTTAATCGAGTTTCCCAACAGGTAGGCTTTCGGATGAATATGGAAAAAACGAAGCTTATGTCGAATGTCCATGTTGCCCCTTACCCTGTTTCGGTTAGGAGCTCAATTCTCGAGATTGTTGACAAGTAAGTATATCTATCTCGGACAAACGATTAGCTAGGTAGTTAGATGCAATTTCGAAAAAGAGATAAATCGTCAAATACGAAGATGAAAGTCTTCAATTAGTGTGTGTTACCAGTGATGATATACGGCTCGAAAACGTGGCCTTTGAATTTATGACACAGCGTGCTATGGAGAGGGATAAGTTTGGTGTTTCTTTACGAGATCTAATCAGAAATGAGGAGCTCCGTAAACTAACCAAAGTCGCTGATATAGCCCGACGGATTAGCAAGCTGAAGTGGTAGTGGGCAGGGCACATAGTACGCAGAACTGACGGTCCATAGTCCAGTAAAATTAATGTTTGAAAGGGAGTTGAGATGTCTTTCTTTGTTGACCAATAATCACTTACCATCAGGTGATCCGTCTGCTCGTTTGCCTCCTGTCACATAAAAAAAAAACAAAACCAAGGACCTATGGCAAATGCTAAAATCGATTTAGAACAAGTTCAATTAACCATAAAGAGTGATGGTGAGAGACATGAGAAAATCATTGGTCTTTGCCAGTCATGTACTTTGGGCTTTGTGGCACGTTTTGGTGAGTTTAAACGCTTTGTTTAAAATTTGAATTAAAACTTTTATCTGATTCCGATATAACGATATTGGATCGCTCAATATCGGAATTGAAATATCGGATCTCGCAGTCCGAGATTCCGATATTACGAGATTCCGATATTCATGCCCTACAATGTACTGTCCACACTTCCAACTATCCATTTCCAGTCTCGTCTCGTTCTATCACAAAGAATCGCCATTTGATGAGAGCGAGAGAAAAAACGGAAATTCGCAGCTGGAACTGTGTGTGACATAAATCAATGTGCTATACTATGCCATAGTAGAATTAATTTCCTTGGTCAGACCGATGACCTCTGTCAAAAATGATGTCCTAGGACTTCATTTGAGCGTCAAGACACTTTTAGCCGTATCTTCCCTTTTTTTTATTTTAGATAGGTATTTGTAGTTTGACATGACAGGTATCAAGGAGATTAATAAAACAGACAAAATTTTAATTGGCAGTCTTTTATTTTATTCATAGATTAAGTAGGCGGGCACACCGTTGATTTTTACTTAGTTGGCCGATAGTTGTGTCCGATTTTAAATTGTATGAAGAATCGGCCAAATCGAATCGGCGTAGTGTGCGCACTCCCATACATGCCCATACTGATCAACTGCCCGACTAAACTATCGGCCGACGAAAAATCAACGGTGTGCGCCTACTCTAAGTCTTTGGTTTGAAAGTTGTACCGAATACTTATTTAACTTAAACTAAGTTATCATATTCAAAGCTTTTAAAGACTTGTGCATAGTCGCAAATAGTCACGTACTAAAGTTGTAGCGAAATGGTCGTTTTTAAAAAAACCGTGAACTAAAACCCGCTCTCCGAGCACTTAGAATTTTGTCACATCGCGATTCGCGACTGTGCGACGGGCGCTCGCAGTGAGTGTGCGAGCGCGACAGCAACATAATTACGCTCGAACGATAAGGATGGGTAGCTTGGGGTCATTGGACAAAATTCTACGTGCTCGGAGACCAGACTGTAGTCTATTTGCAACAAATTTGCAACAAAGTCACGAAAAACGAAAAAAAGCTTTTACAAATTCGTCACACACTTAATCTATACTTTTATAATAAATCTGTAGAGAGGTCAATTCTGTACATGAAATATATTTTCAAAATAGTTATTTTGAAATACTATCACTAATCACCCCCTGATAGTTATCAGGGGGTGATTAAATTAGTGATCGATACTGATGCTAAAAATGCAATCAGTAAAATTTTTGTCTGTCTGTCTGTCCGTCTGTATGTTCCTTATAGAAACAAAAACTACTCGACGGATTTTAACGAAACTTGGTACAATTATTCTTCATACTCCTGTGCAGGTTATAGTATACTTAGGACTTCCCAAGGGAACAGGAATTAGCGGGAAAATCCTTATGTATGAAACATCTAAACCGCTTAAGTTAGACGCTTGAAATTTGACATGCAGGTACTTTAGTAAACTTAAAGCTTAGTTACAATAGGATATTGCAAAATTCTCACGGGAACGAGAGTTAGCGGGAAAGAACATTTGTATGAAAAAATCTAAACCGCGTAAGATAGATGAAGGGGGTAAAACGGGATCCACGCGTACGAAGTCGCGGGCGGCCGCTAGTATTTTACTATAAACGTAACAAAGTATTTAGGAAAGTTACTTTACCATGTTTATGACGAATATGTATATTTTCAATTTACGGAAGTGTGACAAATCGACAAATAATAAAAATAAAAATCTTAAAACTTAATGCATCTGACCCTTTTCCGCGTGGGTTTACATTATTTTTATTTATATCACTAAATTATTATTACCAAAAACTTGCATTTTAATAACACTTTACTTTTCAAATGGGATATTAGCCCACATTAAATCATCCTGATAAAACTATTAAACGTAACTAATTTTTAATCGGAGGTAAAATTACAATAAAATAATACCTAAATTAGCTAAATATAATACCTAATTATTATTTCAACAATATTAATTCTGGGGGAGACTGAAGTTATTAAGCTTTTGTTTGTCTGCGTGTACAGCATTGGAACAATATTGAGGGTTTAAAACCGTTGTTTTATGATTTCTTAATATGTTACCTAAAATGCTATGAAATACCAAAATAAGTACGTATTTATAAAGCGTTCAAACTTGCATTTTAAACTATTACAACTACTTACTACTAACTATAACATGGAATGTAACATCACAAGTTGACTGGGTATCGCTTTTTTGGTTTCGAAATTATAAAATATATTGGATAATCCGAAATTATTTCATATTCGTAACCATAAATGACACCGGTATAATATTATTGTAATATACGTAACCGTATCCATAACCGAAACCTCTATCCATAACATCCCTAGGTCACACTTCCAGCTACCCATTTCCGGTCATGTCGTCTCGTTCTATCGCAAAGAATCGCCATTTGATGAGAGCTAGAGAAAAATCGGAAATGAGTAGCTGGATCTGTGGCCCACTGTAGAGTACTTAGGAATTATGACGTCATATAGTCGCAATGTCAATTGTTTACTTTAAATGCAATTAAAATTCAAATATTATAGTTGATTTTCAACTAAATTGGCTTCTAGACCTGAAATATCTTTTAGATATTATTATGCTTTGCATTGGAATTATTTGTTACTAGCTAGTGTTAAACCACTTCTTTTTTTGGATTCAGTTCAAACATATTTGTCGACGCAGTGGTAGAGACGGGCGATTGTAGAGGTATGCTCTGAGTGGTTGACTCATCCTGCGAGCTTCTGGTTTGGCTCTTGGACCGCAAGGAGAACTTGTGTTGGTGCTTGAAGTTCGTGTACCTGTAAGAAATAGCATTGATATGTAAGCAGCTGAACAGTGTGCCCTCAGTGGCGAAAAAACGCAAGTTCATTGCTATCACATAGAAGAAGATGCTATCATATTTGATTCTTCTTTAAGGTTTATTTGTGTCAATGTCACGTGGAAATTGATGTGTTAGAACATAGGTGTTTTACTTAAGGCCCAGTTTTTTGATTCATAGTTAAAATAACCAATAGTTAAGTTTGACAGATGTCAAATGACAAGTGGTTAAATATCAGAAAAAAATGTTTTTCGAACAATGGTTAGCTTGACTTTTAGTACATTTTTAACTATTCGTTAACATTTTGTTAATATTTAACCGTTAGTAGCAAAATTTAACAATTAGTTATTTTAACTATGATTCAAAAAACTGGGCCTAAGGCCCGATTTTTTGATTCGTAGTTAAAATAACCAATAGTCAAATTTGACAGATGTCAAATGACAAGTGGTTAAATATCAGAAAAAAATGCTTTTCGAACAATGGTTACCTTGACTTTTAGTAAATTTTTTGAACTATTAGTTAACATTTTGGTAATATTTAACCATTAGCAGGCCTGTTCATCTCCGCGAGTTTACATCGAAAACAAAACACGCACGATGGCCCACCTACAGGATACTATTCGACAAGGCCTCACATACGAGCGAACATTGACTCACGCACGCGTATTCTTGTGTATGATGGAAGAAAATAAAGAAAATGGTGTACCTACTAAATACTGTGCAGTATTTAACTGCCTAAATAATAATAAAAACACAGAATGTACTTTTTTAAGTTGCCTCAAGACACTGAGAGGTAAATAAGTAGTTAATATTATTCATGATAATTTATGCTAAATCATGTATTTCCTCCGCCATTTTCCGCAGTTTGTCACCTCACGTCACATCATTTTACCGAAGTCGGCCCTATAGCTTCGGCGCAGTGCCGGTCACTGACGTTTGTCAACAAAATGGTGCTTGACTCTTGAGACAGGCTAAATTACACCATATTGTTAATGACATTGAGCATACGTTTTTTTAAATACCTTCGCGAAGTAAAACTTCTGTACGCAGTACCTACTTATTATTATTCTGTGCCATTAGTAACAAAATTTAACAATTTGTTATTTTAACTATGAATCAAAAAACTGGGCCTTAGTTCTATTGATTTTTGGTTTCAGTGGAGACAAGTATTCGTAAGCGATTCAAGACGCCATCGGGTCCAAAGCGAGTTGTGTGAGATAAGTCGCTTGACACTGGATGCGTGTTCAAATTCAAAAGGTTTCAATTCAATGTTTTTTTTTATAAATTTATCACTTCACTGCACTTTAGAACGCAAAATAACATCAGATTTATTTAACTTAAGCCTATGATAGAGACTATGCTTTCCGTTCAATTACCCTCCACGGAATCCCATCCTATTTGTTAAAAATATTTGATACTGTGACCAATGTAGACGCAGCCCATACTGTGCCGGTCAATCCTCATTATAAGATAGGAGGTTTATGTGTAACTAGCGACCGCCCGCGACTTCATACGCGTGAATCCCGTTTTACCGCCTACTTAGGGGTGGAGTTTCGTAAAATCCTTTCTTAGCGGATGCCTACGTCATAACATCTACCTACATGCTTTTCAGCCCGATCCGTCCAATAGATTGGGGTGTGCGTTGATAGATCACTATGTCAGTCAGTCAGTTACCTTTGAGTTTTATATGTATAATAGAAGATAAGGTGTAGCCAAGTATAAGAAAACTACGTGTACAATTGTACATCATGCAATGCGGAGTTGATGATGTGATGCAGGATGCAGGGTGTAGCAACTTCAACAAAGAAGGGATAACGATCCCAACCTTGATATTAAATACCTATTTGTTTTTCACGAAAATAAAAGAAGGATTCTTTATAGGTATTAAGTACTTTACGTTTCTTTACAAGTTTATTATTTTTTCTATGCATGGGTCAATAAAAAATGTAATAATCACACACTAGCTTTTCTGGTGAGATAAGCTGAGCTGTAATTATTTTTACATCTACCTTGTTGTATTACCTTGTCTCGGTGAATAAATGATCATTTAATATTTTTAATCTTTTAATCTACAGGGTGTTAGGTAAATGGGTATATGAGCCGTCACTAGCCCATGTTAACATGGGCATAGAAATGGTATGGTGAAGTCAGAAATTTGATATCATCATTTAATTTTTTTTAATTTTCATACAAAATAAATTTTATAAAATCCGATTTGTATGAAAAATTAAATTATTAAAATGAAGATATCAATTTTCTGACTTCACCATACCATTTATATTACTATGTTAACATAGGCTAGTGTCGGCTCATATACCCATTTACCTAACACCCTGTATAAGTCTTTGATTGGCAGAAAAAATATTTGTATCGCGTGGTGTCTAACTAATTGAAATAAACTGCAGTTTTAAACTTTGGTTTGTTTATGAGTGAAGTGAACTTGATTGGTACAGTGAGCTCTACCTCCATCCTGCTTTTGTAGTTTGCATTGTGTAAGCACCTTTTCTTCAGCATGTTCCAGACTTTCCTCTTGCAGACGAAGATGACGAAGATGATCACCCCCATGAACACGTTATACAGGTCTGTGATGTACCAGCCCTCGAAGTCGGGGTTGTACGAGCTGACGACCTCCAGGATCCAGCTCAGGCCCATCAGCACCGATAATTTCAGGTACATTAGAAACCTGTAAAATGTAAATATGTACATAAAATGTTATAATAATCTTTTCTTAAAGGTTATAAACCTTTGTTTGTCACCTGTCATCCGCTTTGCAATGGAGGGAAGTCAAACCATAATTTCGAACTCCTACTATGTTCTTCTGTTCGTTGCGGGTCCAATGACAGTTATAATATAACTTTCCCTCGGGACAAACTTGAACTTCATTGGTTGGGTTTTTGTGGCGGTCAAGCTGTAGATCCTGGCTACACAGGAGTTGCAGTGGTGGGAACGAGAGGTGGGAATAGTCTCGTTAAATAAAATGTTTTACCAATACAGAATACCCAGTGACCAAAGTTTGAAATAGGTTCTTAACGAATATGGCTATTAAGCTAAGATTTGAATGTCTTCAAGAATATTTTAGCAGCGATTACGTTAACAAATCTTATTTACAAATTGTATCCTGATTTAGATTTAGCGATAGGAGCAAGAACACTAATTAGACTGCATTTAAAAATAAAGATATTATGGATTTAACGAATTGTTTTTGAGTTTCGCCATTTTGGCGCTATAGGCCATACTGTAGGCAGATACGATTGTCCATGGAACCAGTAGTACTTATTATTATTCTGTGATGGAACTAACATTATTACTTAACCTAAGTTTACACATTACTGGGGTATTAACTGGTTACAGATTGTAGAAAAAACATTAGTGATTTTCTTTCTTGCTTACTCCTATGGTTATTCCAATGTACGTCAAAATTAGTTCTTGGGACAATCGTAATGGGGCGCTTCAAATTGGCACACAAAAATAGCTGTCATTTGTATGGAGACCACCTTTCCAGAGCGGTGGGATTTTTTTATTATCCACAACGAGGAAGCTCTTGGCCTGTATCTCACCTGATGGTATCTAAGTGACGATCAGGCCGAAGGTGGAAGAGAGCTTCACCCGGAATCCTCAACCTCGGAGGAACTAGCTATCTTACCTCTAACTGCCGGAACACAACAATGCTGTTAACATTGTTGTTATGGCGACAGACTTAAGTAAGATGGTGGTAGCTAGCCAGGCGGACTTAGAACAAGCCTTACCAGTCTTACCACCAACCAAACCGAACAGAAAAATCTGCCCCCACTGGGAATCGAACCCGGGACCTCTGCGTCTGTATCAGGTGGTCTTACCACTAGACTACAGAGGCGGTTAAAATAGTACCTTTGCTTGTTAACTTGTCGCGCGGTCGAGGAGCCGGTGGCGGCAGAGTCCTGAGCCCGCAGTACATCGCCCCCTCGCGTCAGCCTCCAGATGTTGAAAGCTGTCAGCAGGAAGAACACCCAGTTGGCCAGGATCATCAGCAGCATCGGCGCGTACAGGTACACGTACTTCGCAGGACCTGGGCCAAAGACTATGATTAAAAAGCGAAGATACGGCACTAGCAACAAGTGACCCGCACACAATTACACTCATTTGTCATTTTCTGACTAATATAGTTTAGTTTAGTATAGTATAGTAGGTAATAGTAGTTATCTCGCTTGCACTAAGCTAGGGCTCTTGCTTTGTCTTGCTTACCGGATCAACCCATAACAACAATGTTAACAGGATTGTTGTGTTGTGTTCCGGCAGTTAGAGGTAAGATAGCCAGTTCCTCCGTGGGTGAGGATTCCGGGTGAAGCTCGCTTCCACCTCTGGCCTGATCATCACTTACTATTAGGTGAGATATAGGCCAAGAGCTTCCTCGTTGTGGATAAAACCTATGTAGTGCAGGCAGGGTTTGCAGGGTTTTGTTCAAAACTAGTTTGATTATTGCAATGTAAGCGCAAGGGAAGATACGGATCTTCCCTTTTTGTTTTAATCTATGGTAAAAGAGCATTGATTAGATAGTCATATGAGCGTACAGCACGCAAGATGTGGTCATGTTTTGTGATGGGTTCAAAAGGGTTACAAAAATTTAAATACAAACATTTAATTATCTCATGATCTTTCACGCACGTGGAAACAACAAGGTACAGGATGTCCTAGAATGGTTAAATCTAACTGCTATGGGTAGCATGACCCTAGTAATATAAAAAAGTTTCATAAGTTACTCAATTACTAAATTAATTTTACCTTCTAGAAAGCATCCTTTCAAAGGTATTTCAGGGACGATGCCACCGAGCCGTCGGTGATTGTTCACCTCGTTCAAAGTCACCAGTGCTATGGTGAGACCGAGCGGGACGCCGAATGCGTAGGCGCAGTACATAAGGAACTTTATGTTCTCCCCTCGACGGTGGATGGGGCGCGCCTTCGCGTAGCCTCTGAAAAGAAAAACAATTCAAATTCTTTATTGTAGGTATGTAACATACTTTTTACGCCTTTTCATAAGAGGCGGGAAATTACCAACCACGCTTGGCAGGCGGGTTGGAGAACACAGATTTTTTTAAGATTTCGCACGCAGACGCTGCTGCCCATTCCGTACTATAGGAATTAGTCGATGAGGCAGCAAGGTTCTGGATGTTTCAACCGGTCATTATGGACATCATTGGGGGAGGCCTATCTTCTGCTGTGGACGTCTTGTGGCTAAATGAACATGGCTATATTTGGGACGTGTTTAAGTACCCAGATACGAGTATAGCTTGCCCTAACACCAATTTGGGACCATAGGTCAAGACTATTACCACCACCACAATGTCACACAATCCAGCTCACCAGATGAGATAGGCACAAACAGAATTTTGTGTAATTAATATTTTAATGTTATTGTTGTATTGAGTGGGGATCGAACCTGGAATCTCTGGTGAACCAGTAGGCCTGCTTGGCTAGGATGCGCGCCGTGATAAAATCTTAAAATCAATGATTTTAGACGTCAAATGTAATCCATAAAATGCCTCGATATTGCCATGGACATAAATTATAGTTTTGCAAACAATAAAATTAAAATGTGAGTAATGTCTGCTAGGTCCTTGGATTTGTAAAGCACAATAACTAAAAGGAATCCGGGACAGGGAATGAGTTCTTCCTAAGTATTTTTCGAAAATTCTACATAATTATTAATTAATGACAATTAATAATTATGTAGAATTTTCGATGTGATTCATTTTGACGTGAAAAGGTAAAATGCTGTTAGTTAAGTAGGTATAATGGAATTGTACGTAAACGCTCTATTTATTGACCTCTTTTTCCTTATTGAATAATAGGGAATTACCTCTTAGCAACGTTGATAATACTACCTTCTCTTCTCCGTATTTATTCTCTGATAAATGAGCTCGTTTCAAATGAGCCAAATTGAATAAATATTGATACATTTAAAACTGAGTCCTGCCGGTCTATGCGCGCCACGATATAATATTATTAACTTCGATTTTAAGCGACAAATGCGATTTTATCGTCTAAATTCGATAAAATGCCTCAATATGATTAGGTATATCGTGGCGCACATCCGAGTGGCGCGATGGCGTATCAAAATTAGGCGGTAATGATACGAGTCCGTGATACGGAGGCGAGGTTGGTTGATACGGGGTTACCGATACGGTGATCGGATCGGAAAATTTTATGTTAGTAGGTATGATTGTAATCAATTTTCGATTTTGATAACATACCTGAAGGTCCAGAATATGTCGTAGGACATGACGTTCAACCAACCAAAACTGGCCAGCATGAAGAAATATGTTAGACAAGCTGAAACACAAAGTATCACCTTGTTAGGTTATTTAAACTCAATGTAGAAGAAATTAGTGAATTATAATAAATAACTTGAAAAAATCTGCCTACGGCGGGAATCGAATCCACGACCTTTCGGTTGCCGGGCGACTGCTCTTCCATCTGATGACGTTGTACTTAGACACTGGATGGATGAAGCCCCTTAGAGCTCCTTCATCCAGTGTAATATCGAGTGCTCTAAAGATTTAAAGTGCCTTTATAGTTTTTCAACCTTTTTTATGACCCCCCCTAGTATGAAAAAACATTTGGGTCCGTGGCCGAGTCCTCCAGTGTTCGACGCACCCGTGGTGGACGCCCTCGATTTAAATTAATTAAATATTATATTTTTTTCGGCTTTTGCACTAAGTACAGTCAACGAAAAGTAATGAAAAATATAATAATTTTGTTATTATTACAAAAATTAAAATGTTGTATTTAATTTTTGGTTATAAATACTTAATAAAACTTTTATAATTTTAACTTTTATTTGTAGTTAGTTAAATGTAGAGAGAGTAGAGTTATTTTCAAGACTGGTTATTTAATTGTTATTATACAGAGTGTTTGGCGGAAGAAGGGTAGACAAACTACGTGGGTTTATAGACAGGGACATCGCGGATAGAATATTTTTGAAAAAATATTTGTATTTTATTAGCAATATAATAAAAAAAAATTAACTACTTGTCTTGAAATATATAGTAAAATCTGAATCTGCAGTGAATACTTAATTATTAAAAACATCACAAAAATCAACTATATTTTTCGATTGTTGACTTAACGCATTGAAAATAAATTAATAGTTTTTAATTTAAAGAAATAGAATCAGAACTTTTTAGGAATCGTTTTTTTGAACACGAAGTCCATGGAATTTGAATACATATTATCAATAAAAAATTGTTACAATAATATTTGTAATTAAAAATACATGTTTTTTTGTTAAAATAACACCTATACAAAATATTTATCTAAAAGCAGGTTTTACTAACTCTTAGAAAAAAATCGATAGTTAAATCGCTATGGTTTAGTTATGTGACATCTCTATAACTTTCAAACTCGAAACGTCATACGAATCATCTTAGGTGAAAAATAATATAGTTCGTTTATAAACATTTTTGTGCCTGACTGTACATTTAATTAAAAATTGCTTCAAATCAAATTTTACTGACCGGGGGCGTCGACCACGGGTGCGTCGAACACTGGGGGACTCGGTCACGAACCCAAACATTTGGGCCACCGTTCGCTTTTTTTCATGCATTTTTTAAGGTATTAAAGATGTTGTAGGGGCCGAATTTTCCAATACATACAACATTTATGCATTTGCATAATTAGATTTCAGATAAATCTATATTAATTTTAGAACTTTACTGTTTTTTACTCAGGTAGTTTTTACGACCTCTCGCGACCCCCTATAGAGGTTTTAAGGATTAATAGAACGTAAAAAAATGACAAACTCTATAAAAAAACACCGGTTATCGTTATAGTCTTATAAAACCATAAATTACTTACATATAACCAGACACACCGATGGAGTGAATGTGCCCATTGCTATGCAGAAGTAGAAGATGAAGCCCATCATGAGACTGGCGACGTATGCCATGAAGATAAGTCCGCCTAAATTGCGCAGCTCCGGCAGCAGGCTGTATACCACCAGCAGCAGCAGCAGGAACACACTTGACACAAGGAATCCTGTAACGGAAGGATGTTAGAAAGAAAGAAAGAAAAACATTTATTTTGGTTCCAACGCAAAAAAAAAACACACAGTTTAATAAGTAAAAGGTACCTATTTAGAATCAAAAATGGCCACCGCTCAGCGTGTCATGTGTCATGCTCTGAGGCAGTAACTACTACTGTAGTAAATATAGTAGTAAGTAAGTATATGTAGAGACAATAGAAATCAATGTTACCGCGGTCTCATGCCACCATATAGCCATACACCACTATTCACCACTTAAAAACAGGGTACAACTATGGTGTAACTTAGAAATAAGGGGGTTTGAGTATTTTGACGATGAAAACTTTCAACTAAGAACGAAGCCCCGATAAACGAACGGTCGGACTGGCCAACTCGAGATCCGAGGAACGTGGGTTCGAATCCCGCCACCGCTCGACTATTGTGGAGAGCCCACTCGTAACACAAGCATATTTAGCTTATCACGAGGGGCTAACGGACTATTAACAGTTTGCGTAATCTTAAAAAAAAACAATTACTGCTAGGAATCAAACCTCTAACTTCTAAGTCAAAAGAAGGTCCTTTACCAAGGAGGCAGATGAGCGTTATACGCCCGTTTCACAAACATTACTATGAGGTCTCACAGTGCGCGTGGACGCACAGGGTCGCACACGAACCAATGACAGAGCTCTATTCAACGCTGTGCGTTCGATTTGCTGCTTCACATAAGCATCTTTAGTCGTACTTACCCCATTTTAAAGGATCGTCTTTACGAGGAGTTTCAGCGTCTTTTGTAAAATATACAGCAGGTATAAGCGTCTTGTTTGGAGCTAACTCGGCGTCGATGCAGTACCGGTCAGTTTCGTAAGCGTATATCTGTTTTGATTTCTTTCTTTCTAAAAATAAGGTGCCATTCTGAAAAGAAAGGAACATGTTGTTAACCCTCTCTGCGTTTACTAGTTGATGGTTTAATCCCTACTTCCATAACATACAATATTTTTATTAATGTGAAAGTAACTCTGCCAGTTACGCCACACACGCTTTGACGCAGTGTGACGCCTAAACCACTGAACCGATTTTGATAAATTTTGGTATAGTTTTAGTCCCGGGAAAGAACATAGGAGATTTTATCCCGGATTTTACAGGACAGACAGGGTGCGCGCGAAGTTTTTCTGTGAATCACTCGGAGAAACAGCGGGAAAACCTAGGAAAAACTAATTTTAAACCGCTTCGCTCGCGTGTATTTCTGTTTGTCCCAGAAAAATCTAAAAACATTTTATTGAATACAACCAAAATCATAAATGAGTCTTATCGTACAAACTTTCTTCCCCTCTTGCACCACTTACCTGCATCAAGAAGTACGTCGTGTATAGTATAGTGTAATTGAGGGCACGTTTCTTAAAACCATCATCAAGAAATATCCCCGCTTCTGGATAAAAATGATCTTCAAAAAGTCCTATTTCGTTGTATCCTTCGTTGTACACACTTATTTTTAAATCCACTTTTCCTGTATATGGTGTACAATTTTTAGCACTTCTAACGATATGATCGTCTGGGCAACATTTCTTAATGCACACTTTCCCATGGCACAAGTCACTGGCAAGTATTTTTTGTGTGATAAAAACAACACAAAGTAGTATTAGCCTCATAGTGGCGACCGACTCATGTGGACACACAAACGAAGTATGTATGACACATAAAGTTGTGGGCTGGACCTGTGAACAAGGAATAAGATTCAATTACACTAATATTATAAAGAGGAAAACTTTGTTTGTTTATTTGGTTGTAATGAATAGGCTCAAAAACTACTGGACCGTTTTTAAAAATTATTTCACCATTCGAAAGCTACATTATCCACGAGTAACATAGGCTAAATTTTATTTTGGAAAAAATAGGGTTCCGTAAAATATGTAGATAATGTAGTCCACGCGAGCGAAGCCGCGGGCGGAAAGCTAGTTAGGTATAATAGAAACAAGTGCAGCAGGCTCGCATTCAAGTTTACTTTAGTTACAAGGGGCCCTTTGAAAACACTTGAAAAAGTAAAGTTTTATTCTGGAAGGCAGTTATGCCATTAAAAATTAATACATATGAGTAGCTAGGTATTTTTAAATTTTTTTTGGTACCCTTAACTTAGATACAAACTTTGCTTAGTTTGGGACTAGATGGCGTAGTTTAAAATGTCCAAGGATATTCGACCACCTCAAGTATTCCTCCACTCGGAGTGAGCTTTCTGTGCTTTGGCTAGCTAGGAGTGACTCAGACCACAACAGACTAAGTGACTCAGTTTTCTTGATCGTCAAGAAACATAAAAGATAAACGACTTAGCCTGTTACTTAACACTTTAGTTTTAAAAATTGGACGAAATGTTACAGCTCTGAGAAATGGCTGAGACAATGAACCGACAGAATAAATGTTTAAAAATAGCACCTATTACTTATAGGTCCTACATTTACCTCAGTCTGCCTGAGGTATGGGAGAGAGGCACGGAAGCGTTTTTTTGGTAACGTTTAACGTTAAACGTCAGCGAGATTTCAGATCTCCTTCAGAATTAGGTATATTAAGCTTTGTCACGTCACAATATGTCAATGTCACCCTCCCGTGCCACAAGCGGGTCGTTACATTCCCTCTTACCTATATGGTCGAGTGAAGCGGTGGCTGGTTCACTCGTCATGTCTGTGAACAGGCGCTGCTTTCGGGGACTGGTCAATCCAAGTTATTCAAATTTATTAATGCGAGTCATTTCTAAGTATTTAAGTATCTTAATCTGTAAGTCTAGATATTAGCACGTTACTACCTTATTTAATATGCCACGCAATTTTGTATACCCATTCTTATAAGATAGGTATACCATACAAGAATGCGTTGTAAATTCAGTGAACTGCTCCTGAATCAAATGTACCTATATAATACAGAGCCCCGATTACGGTAATTTTTAACGTCAACAATCCAGACACGCTTCTCGATTCTGCGATACGATTGGTCGTTCAACAGCGTACGTCAGCTGTTTTGACCAATCGTATCGCAGAATCAGAAACGCGTCTGGATTGTAGACGTTATAAAAGTTACCGTAATCGGGGCTCTGCTTTTTCTTTTTATTTATATTAACCGGCAGACAGTGGTGACTGAGTTTGTGGCGGCGCTTCTTCTCAGCACTTGCCAAATGTTGGTCTCGAAGATTATGAGACAACTGCAACTAAACTACAACTGCTAGTTAATTTTGAGTTGCATCTAAGTTTCTGCCATACCGTCCGCTGAGAGACCACACATGAGGCGACCAGTTTGAAACTTTCAGTTTCAGTTTCATTCATCAGAATCATCACAAAGTTGCAGTTTCGTTGCAGTTGCGTTTCACAGTCTGTTCTGGGCCTAAGATACAGCTTTTCCTAGGTACGTAGTTTGGTATGCTGTTTTTAAACTTGCAATCTACATGTTGCACGGCACGCAGTAGTTACGGAAAATAATTAATTGTATTACGCATAGGTAATTATTTAATTTTCATTGTACTAAACATTATTTTTCTGTCTCCTTTTTTCTATTTCTTTAATTACCCAACCGCGTATCGCGTTATTTACCTATTACTACAAATCATTATTATTAATAACATTGATATTGAAGCCTCAAAAATATGACTAAATAGATACAACTTTTCACGTGAGTAAAAGTTTAAGAGAGCGAGCTTTTTCTACTTTACGTTTGCTGACGAATAAGTATTCTTAGTGAAGAAAACCAAAAAAAAAAGCTTATTAGTCAACAGTTAACAAAATATTTATTAGATAGCGATATAATAATTATGTATTTGGTAGATTTGAAGCTTTATTAGAGTAAACCCACTGGAAAGTATTATTATAAGTTATTTTACCTATTATTAAATACTGATAAGGTTATCCTGTTACCGTAAATACATTTCGGGAAAAATATATTAAAATTAAATAATTTTACTTATCTTTGAATATAAATAGTACCTAATTAAATTAATAATATAATAAAAAATCGCCATTATGTAAGTAAAGTAATAATAAATATTATTATACCTGTTTTTACAATAAGCAAACTTTATTAATAATTTATAATAAACAAACAAATTATATACTAGTAATTTTATTGGTTTGTTTATTTGATCGAATTATTCGATTTGTTCAAATAAAACACCTATAATATAGATAGATGATGAGACAACAGCCTAATATTAATACATAAAACATACAATTTTCTAAATCTAAAAAAAACAATTTATAATTTTTTTCACTGCTAATTTGAAGAGAAGATTTTTTGTGGAGATTTATATTTTCTATTTGAATATAAAGTTATCTGAATTAAACCGTTATTTTTTTTTATTTATTTATTTTATTTATACCTATGATGGTACTTAATAATATTAGTATTAAATACTTTCTTACAAGAATTGGTAATTTTGTACTTTTGTGGTTAATTAACGCGCTTATTTTTTTATTTTTTTTATTATTACACATATTTAGCCGTATTTATATAGTGTCTTCTTAAATCCTCTTGAGGTTTGTTCAGACACTATTGTTCTCTATACAAATAAAATAAGCGTTTCAGTATATGCATTTACAACTTTATGAAATATACGCATACAAAACATTATTTTAGCGAGTGCGCACTACGATGACGATTAGCAAGGGGTTTATGAGTTACTATTTTCCTGATCAATCTTAGGGGATTTTAATTATTAATAATACCGACGACGTGGTTCATGTCATTTACTAAAGAGGAAAATATATTTTCCTTATTATTTATTATTAGTATTTATCAATACTCGTATTAATACGTAAGAATACTTATAATAATTTATTTTCTAATTAATATTATAAAATAAATTATTATAAGTGCTGTTGTTTTATCATTATCGATAGTATCATCGTTACAGTTGTGAGTAACTGATCAAAAACTCGATAGTTTAAAACATCCACACAGAGCTCGTCTGTCGGTACCTACCTAACTTGCTGCGAGTTCGGTCTTTACTTTTAATGTAAGATTGTAATGGTAAAAAAAGTCAATATGAAATCGGAAAATTACACACATTCCGATTCTATAAAGACTGCTGCTTTCGAGATTCTTAGGTATGAAGAATCCTTGGGAGTTTGTTTATCTTGCGAAGCTCAGAAATATAGGTAATAAATTGACTTGTGTAAAACATTTGCATGCTGGTTCATATCTGGCGAATGTGTCCTGCTCCATTTTATTATGTAACATCTAATGTACCACATTCTGCAAATAAATAATTTGAATTTGAGTGAAATTTTTGACTGCGTTATAGAAGTACTTTGATTTTTTTGCCGACTTTACGGTGATATCGATATCGATACTGCCGATGGTTCAACACTAGATCAAACTTGTAACGCACTTCTTAGGCATCTTATTCAATTAATTAGTCGTTTGTTTTTATTATTTTAAGCAAGGTACCCCACCTGGGTACCTATTTAAAAGATTCATAATGATCTACAGCCACTCCTTTGTGCCTTGGAGTCACTATCTTTGTTGTATCGTCAAGGTAAACAAGATGGTACCTACCATAGATAGTTGCAATAGAGTCGATTTTGCAACAGAAGTGTGTAGAATTACTGTGCACTGACTGTACCATGTTTCTCTATGCTAAGACCTTACCGATTTTATTAAATCGCTTTGTTTAGATAACAAGTATTGGGAATTTGGGATACAATATTCGCATTTTGAAAATTATAAATAACTAGGTGACCCGGCGAACTTTGTTCCGCCTTAATGGCAATAAATAAGCAGACTTTTTTAAAAATTTCGAACGGGATAAAAAGTATCCTATGTCCTTCTCCTGGCTCTAAACTACCTCCCTGACAATTTTCAGCTAAATCGGTTCAGCCGTTCTTGAGTTATAAGTGGAGTAACAAACTAATAATCCAGTCAATGAATGCCTTAACGACGGTGTAGAGAGAAATCCGTGGAACACAATTTCTGACCTCGGGACTTTATTTAGCCTAGTTAGGAGGTGAACGTAGCAAAAGTCCCCGACTTTAGCCCTTGAGCCGGCGGGGAGAGGGGGGTTTAAAGGTACCACTTTTCGGTTTTTCGCTTAATCCTCGGAAACTATGCGTCCTAGTGACATGACTACTATGAACCAAAAAAAGCTTATTCAATTTGCTACAGGTGAGACCGTCAAGTTTTTCTATATCTTGTATAGTTTTTGCGGCATCTGCTCTAGAAAGTCTGTAAAATTGGAAATTTTATTGTTGTCTTACATGTTCCTTTCAGGAGAAAATCGACTAAATCAACATTGAGCAAACACTATAGACATGCGGGAGCATGTTAAGCCTAGTTCCAGGGAGGGGACTGCACCGTGCGTATATTTAGACGAACCAATTAGAGCCACTTTTGACTCCTCATCATTCAAAAACTGCTGTGCATTAACACATGAGCCAAATTTGAAGTGTTAATGCACAGTACTTTTTGAGTGATGAGGAGTCAAAAGTGGATCCTATTGGTTCGTCTAAATATACGCACGGTGCAGTCCCCTCCCTGGAACTAGGCTTAACATGCTCCCGCATGTCTAGAATATTAGCTCAATGTTGATTTAGTCGATTTTCTCCTGATGGAAACATGTAAGACAAAAATAAAATTTCCAATATTACAGACCTTCTAGAGCAGATGCCGCGAAAACTATACAATTTATAGAAAAACTTGTCTATCTCACCTGTAGCAAATTGAATATGCTTTTTTTGGTTCAAAGTAGTCATGTCACTAGGACGCATAGTTTCCGAGGATTAAGCGAAATACCGAAAAGTGGCACCTTTAAACCCCCCTCTCCCCGCCGGCTCAAGGGCTAAGGGCGGGGACTTTTGCTATGTTCACCTCCTAACTAGTCTAAATAAAGTCCTGAAGTCAGAAATTGTGTTCTACAGTTTTCCATCTATAATGCTTTATTGACTGGACTATAACACGACTTTCTTTTATACGAACTGCCTAAAGCGGGAATTGAACCCACGACCTTCCGCTTGCCGGGCGACTGCTCTTCCAACTGAGCTAGCTAATTGAACTGGGTTCAATTCCCGCCTTAGGCAGTTCGATTTTTAAAGTTATTTATAATTTTCCAATTAGTTTGAGATGCAACTCTTAACGCTAAAAATTTAACAATATTCGCATTGCTTTATACTTTGTGAGATAGAGACTTTGCATCAGGCTATAGGTACATTTAGTTGCAAGATTGCACTCATTACAACTATTATGATGATTCTGGAAAGGTGAGCTTCACAGAGCTTTTTTTGGTCATTTCTACAAAGCTAACTATTTTTAGCTAAATTATTCTTTAAAAAAAGATGCGCCTGTCCACACCCGATAGGTAGGTCATAAATAAATAATCAATAATAATAATCATAGTCTGATACATAAGGATGTAGGTGATGTCACTAAAGAAACATACATTTTTTAAAGATCATTAGCTGAATTGATTCAACTCATTCAGACTGCTGATTTAATAGCCCGTGTCAATTATTCAGCCATTGGACTTCGTAGGTGCGGATCTAGGTCTTCCCTCTCAACATATCGAAAAACTGGTTACTGATTCTGAAAGCGCTTCACGAGCTCTTTCAAGTGATACCAATAACAGGTTGCAAAATAAACTGGAACCGTCTGAAAAACACTGGACATACCATCCGTGCCCTCCATTTCAGACATTAAAATGAGCTCGGGACCATTTAATAATTAAATTCACTTTACTTACTTTATATCACTTGGTTCCGATGGCACTGTTAATTGACAACTCTCACTGTTTCCGCAAAAAAGATTTTTTCTCTTCGGTCAGCGTGTAAGTTGTCTTCTCAGGGTACACTATAATTATTAAAACACAGCATGTTGCTCTAAATAGCAGAACGTTTCTAGCCTGCAGTAACTACTAAATAATCCGTGTCCAAAGTTAGAACAATGTACCATTATAGATCATTAAGTCCTCTTACGAGTCTCTACCAATATTAAGTACGCATACCAACTAGGAGTTAGGTAGGCTATACGACTAGCGAATATTTAAAGGCATACTAAATGTATTCCAAATGTCTGGATCACTTACTGTTTGTTATCAACGACCAATTTATCACTGATAAGGACTGGTAGGGATGCGAACTGTCGACAGTTCGACATAATACTGTAAATAAGGAAGTAGCTCGTTAACAAAATACTTATCTTATTTTTTAAACAGTTTTTAAGTTAATAAAACATAATTATTTTATTAAGTTTCTTAACGATTTTCACCTAGGCGCAGACCACCGATTTTAATGGCAGTTAATCAGTATGGGCATGTATGGAAGTGCGCACATTACACCGATTTGATTTTCATACAAATTAAAATCGGGTCCAACTATAAGCCGACTATAGGCCGTCTGCGCCAACCGGCAGAAAAGAAAGATCTCCAGTAAGTAGGTATCAGTAATTTTTAAATCAATTAAAAAACTATCGAGTCGGCAATCGACTTGTCTACGACACTTCAATGACATCATAGTTATAGGCGTTCAATTGAAAATTATTCATCGACTCAAGTGGACGTGTTTCAGGGATTCACAAAGAAATGCATTGTTATCTTTGCTGATTCTGATTCCATTCGTATCAGAAATCGCTTAATATGTCTCTTATCTGTACCTACATAGATGGGGTTCCCCAACGAATTTAGAATTTGACTTAGTTTACAAAATATTTTGACTCATACGTTATTTCCTGGTAGGTAGGTATGTGTTTCTTCTTTATCAGATAGCAATGTTTATTTACGTTTTTTATCTATGCAGTTAATGATGCCGTGGTTAACTTAACAGTGGAAGGAATGTGTCTAGACGCGAACACCTTGCCGAACTTATACGGCAAATTAGCATCGAAGCGAATTCGTTTTTGACGGGCACAGGTTTTGATTGAGGTCCACTCATTTTGTTGTAGTTGCAAGATCGTTGTTATAATTTTTTTTAAAACTAGGCCCTCCAATGATATCAATGTGTTTCGCATAAAGCCCACACGTTTGTCCCCAATGTTGGGCCCAACGTTACTCATCCAACGGTGTGGATCTAGAAAATAGCAATCTTCGTTCTTGTGAATAAAAAAAAAGTTATTGAGTGGCGACCACGGGCCGGAAGACGTAGTGTGGGCAACGATCGACGATGTGGTGAAAGTCGCTGGAAGAACCGATCGTTATAAAAATCCTTGGGTAGGCCTTTGTCCAGCAGTGGACGTCATTTGGCTGGAACTAGGGAATGCAGAATCGGTTCTGGTTTGAGGAACCGGGTTTTTCGGGTCTGGTGATCATAAGAACCGGGAGCCCCGGTTTTTTCGGTTCTTTCGGTTCCAAAAAAACAACATTTTGATTATGTTTTTTTTTTATTGAAATAACACTTCTTTGAATAGACTAGGAATAATCAACAAACATGATTTACAATACTTTTCTATTTTTACTAAATTCTACTCCCAAAAATAAAAAAAGTAAAATAATTAGTTTTCAATTGAGGTACCACAATCAGTCTTTTTCATCCAACTTATCGATATATTTGACTATTTATATATTGACTGTCAGATGCAAAGCAAATAAAGGAGAAGTAGTGTTGGAGTGTTGCCAACTCTCACACAAAAATATCATCATCATCATCATTTAATTTTAAACCATAGGATAGGACGTCCACTGCTGAACATAAACCTCCTCCAATGCTTTCCATGTTGATCGATTGGTAGCGGCCTGCGTCCAGTGCTTCCCTGCTACCTTTATGATGTCGTCGGTCCACCTTGTGGGTGGACGTTCCACGCTGCGTTTTCCGGTACGCGGCCTCCATTCCAGGACCTTCCTGCCCCATCGGCCGTCAGTTCTACGTCCGGGTCGGGCTATGTCCGCTGAATCCGCTGACATAGAAATGAGGAGATCCGTAAATGAACTAAAGTCGCTACTTTACTTCATTTAGATACGGATCTCCTCATTTCTGATTCGATCTCATAAAGAAACACCGAGCATAGCCCTCTCCATAGCACGCTGTGCAACTTTGAACTTCTGTATAAGGCCTATAGTGAGAGGCCACGTTTCCGAGCCATAAGTCATCACTGGTAACACACATTGGTTGTAGACTTTCGTCCTCAGGCACTGAGGTATTTTAGATGAAAAGATGTTGCGTAGTTTGCCGAACGCTGCCTAGCCGAGTTGGATTCGACGAATGACTCCCTTTTCGAAATTGGACCTACCTAGCTGGATCGTCAACAATCTCGAGGATTGAGCTCCCAACCGAAACTGGGTAGGGCGCAACATGGACATTGGACATAAGCTTTGTTTTGTCCATATTCATCCTCAGGCCTACCTGTTAGGAAACTCGATTAAGGTCTTTGAGCATTGTGCTTACAACGATTCTGCCATGACCACAATCAGTATCGTGGGCAAACCGAAGGTGAGTGATGTACCCGCCATTAATGTTTATGCCGAATCCTTTCCATTCAAGGAGTTTGAAAGCGTCTTCCAATGCAGTGGTGAACAGTTTAGGAGATATAACATCTCCCTGCCTAACGCCTCACTGCAGAGGAATCGTCCTCGTGCTCTGCTCCTGTACTCGGACCGACATGGTGGCGTTTTTGTACAAGCACTTCAGCACCTCGATATACCGATAGTCAATACGGCACCGCTGAAGAGACTGTAAGCACTGCCCAAGACCCGAACAAATCGAAGGCCTTCTCATAGTCTACGAACGCCAAGCATAGTGGCAAGTTATTACTCGTCAATCTTCTGTATAACCTGTCGCAGCGTAAGCGCAAACAAAAATGTGCCAGTGATTTAAAAAAATTGTAAGAAAAATGCTAAAAATATTTACATATCTCATAAAAAAAAAAAAAAAACAAAACCTATAAGTAGGTAATCTTTATTAGTAGCTAATCTGATATCTTTAGGTTCTCTATACGTTCGCAATGTTCTTGTTACGACTCTGCCTAATACCTATAACAGATTTTTAGATAAATATGCAAAACCCGAAAGTACCGAAAGAACCGGGTTTTGAATTTTTAAAACCCGGTTCTTAAGCTGTCGAAAAAACCCGGGTTTTCCCGGTTCTTTCGGTTCCGGGATTACCCGGGTACCATAGCTGGGCACCGTTAATCAAATAGTTAACTTCGTTAATCGTTAAACCGTTAATAAAAAAATTAACTTCGTTAAACGTTAAAACGTTACATTTCACAAGATTTAACGCAAGTTAACGTTAATCGTTAATCCGTTAACACGTCATGATAATAAAACGAAAAAAATAATTGTATGCAAGGTTCAAATAATTTCGAAAGCTTGTATCGCGCATGGAATTTATTCTTCTTTTTTAGGGTTCCGTAGTCCTTCGATATTTCGATATTTCGAGGTTTTGCTTGGAAACTATTGGCACTAGGGAGCTGTAATTTTGTAGATATATGTATATTAATCACGCCGACAAAACGGTAGAATAAAATTTTGAAAAAAAAAGTAAAATGGGGGGAAGATTTTTTTTTCATCTTCGACCCCATCCTGTGGGGTATCGTTGGATAGGTCTTTTAAAATGGCTTAGGGGTTCCTAAGACTTTTTTCCATTTAGGGATCAGTTTGCAAATTATTAAAGTTTAAAGTGCCGATTTTTGTTCGAGTAGGGCGTCGTCCCCCCTCTAAAAACTAAACTGTTGGCTTGAAAAATCTGGAAAAATTCGTGATAATACTGCTATTCATGAACTTTCAAGGAAAACTATAGCGGTTAAGATACATCAATTAGTTTAAGAGTAATAGTCATTTAACTCATGCATTACAAAATTTCTTAACTAGTGAAAATTCCTAAGAAGAAAATATGAAAAGTGTCTGTAGATGAAGTAATTGCTTGCTTCTGAAATACATATACTGTGGTAACGACGGACCACTACGGAACCCTACACTGCGCGTGGCACGACACGCACGTGGCCAATTTTTTTTTGTTTGCGGTACAAGCTTTCGAAATTATTTGAACCTTGCATAAGTACAATTATTTTTTTCGTTTTAGTACAACTGCATTTCAGAATAAAAGCTTGTTTTTAAAAAAAGTTATAATTTTATTTTACACTTTTTAGTAGTATCTCAATCTCAGAGCCTTGGTTCAATTACAATACAATTTAGCACCAAAGTGCTCGAAAAGACAAATCCAGCAAACCCAAACTCGATAAGTTTCCACCGTTTCGTTTAGGAATTCCTATGGCCACCTCCTGACTCCATCATCAGGACCCTGGACATCATCTAGTACTAAAGTGCTCGAAAAGACAAATCCAACGAACCCAAATTCGATGCGATGCCACCGTTTCATTTAGGAGTTCCTATGGCCACCTCTTAACTCCATCATCAAACCAGCTCAATGGTACCATAACATTGCATTGTCATTGTACTTACAAAAGTATACTAAATTTCAGCTCAATCGGTTGAGGAAAACTGGTCTTAAATTCAGTTGCAAGAGTGGTCCCACACATACTAACATGTCGTTAGTGATACGTTATGAACTGTCAAATGATAACGATTGCTTTACACAATTCCACCTCTGGTTACAAAAACTGTTGTTTTGGGTTCTGGAAGTTCTGAAAGCCCGAACGTACTTGTCAGAACGCGTTTTTCTAGCGTTTTTCAGCGTGCTTTTGGTAAATAGTACGTACTGGATTAACGATTAACGGACTTAGGATAATTTAACGGAAGTTAACGAGTCCGTTAACATTTTTTAAGGTTAACTTAAAAGTTAATCCGTTAATAGAAATGTTAACTTCGTTAATTAACGATTAACGGATTAACGAGTTAATGCCCAGCTATGCCGGGTACAAACCCTAGCTGGAACGTACGAACGAAAAAATAAAAAGACAATAAAGTCGCCACCCCTTCGTATCGCCAATTAGGTAGATTGGTAAATAAATCGTCTAATTAGTGGTCAAATTAATTAAATAGACACCCACGAAAGACACTTTGAATTATTTTATTATTTTCTTAACTCTAAGCTTAAAGCTAAAAAATTTTTTTACCATAGCCAAATCATTTTTTACCTTTTATTATGGACATTGCTGTTTATGAAAATAATAGACTCCATTAAAAATCACAAAAAAAAACTAAATAGGTAGGTCATGATACTATTCAGATCTATACAATTTGTGTATTTTATAGGCTACTTAATAATAATTGTACTTATTTATTAATAATATTACTTATTTAATTCAATGAGGGCTATCGTTTTAGCGCTCACCAGTTAGCGCCACTGTAGAGTAAGGTCCTGTCACTTGCTAGTAGCGAAGACAGTGGCGCCAACTTGTGAGCGCTAAAGTGGTAGGAGGACTATCGTATTTGCACTCATCAAGATGGCGCCACTGTAGAGTAAGGTCCTGTCAATCGCCAGGGGTGCCAACTGTTAAGTATAAAAACGATAGCCCTCAATTGGTATTGTGATTCGAATAAAAAATAAGAAATTAGTATCTTTTTATTGAAGTGATTGAGCAGTATGATGTGAGATGAGATCAATTATGTCATTAGTTGTGTTGTGCTTGTTTTCACAAATTAACATTTTATATCTGTAGCAAATTGCATTGGATTTGCAGATTTAGGTATTTATAATATTCTACAGCCCCACCGAAGTAATCTATCTACTATATAAAAATAGGTCGGGTTTTCCTTCCTGACGCTATAACTCCAGAACGCACGAACCGATTTCCACGGTTTTGCATTCGTTGGAAAGGTCTCGGGCTCCGTGAGGTTTATAGCAAAGAAAATTCAGGAAAATTTAACAAACGAAATTCCACGCGGACGCGGGCTAAGCCGCGCGGCAAGCTAGTAGACAATAAAAAGCATCTTTGGAATCATTGACTTAAATCTATTCTTAACCTATCTATGAATAAATCTTTAGATTCGTTATACATCGTAAGAGCCAAAGCACATGATGCGCATCGTGTGCTTTAGCTCTAACTCTAATGCAGGCCTAAGGCTGCGTTTCCACCAGAGATGTGCGATGATGCGTAGCGAGGGATGTATTTGTACAATAGTATCGCTTCATTTTCCTCGCCTCGGTACGCAGCATTATTAAGTAGTAGTAGTATTTTGAGTATTTTAGGACACACCAGCGTATACTTTGTTACTTCAAATGATATTGGTCGTTATCGCCGTTTAGTTGTTTACAAAATGCCGTTCCTTCTGGTCGGTGAGGCCTTTGGGGTTGATGCTGATCTGCAGAGCGCCATCCTGGCTAATGTTCGACGTCTCTGTCATGGTGCTGTTGGACCTGCTCCTCATGGAAGCCGTCCAGGAGTGCTCGCCGAACGATGTCAGACATAACAGCCTGAAACGAAAGAATCCATTAGACCATTGGTTCCCAAACTTATTTGAGACGCGCCCCCTTCGAGCATCCAAAAAATAGTCAAGATTAGTTATAGGTCGTATCGAGCAGTCTGGAATGCATTCTCTCAGCGGTCGCAGGTTTTTTTATATTTAAGTACACAGATGGCCCGCGCCCCCCACTCTGGGAAACAATGCATCAGACTTTTCTTGCCTCTGGTAAATTAGAGTGGAGGCCATGCTCCAGAAAGCGCAGCGTGAGATGTCCATCACAAAGTGGAACAACGACCTCATAAAGGTAGCAGGAAGGAGCTGGATGCAGGCTACCAACCGGTCAGTATGGAAATCAATGGGGAGGCCTATGTCCAGTAGTGGACGTCCTGTGACTGAAATGATGATGATGGTGAAATTGGAGACCTACACTTGCAATGGAGACCAATGGCCTGATGATTGTGACGATGAAGAGCATTGTCGTTGACCGGATTATGCAGTGGGAATACATTCTAAGAAGTAAATCTATCATATTCGTAGGTTTGGTGATCACCTAGATGCGGGCATTGCTGGACCAGCTGCTGTAGAAATCCATGGGGCAGTCCATTTGTCCAACAATGGATGCAGTGTCGTCCACTGCTGGACAAAGGTCTCGCCCATCGAAACGAGAATTAAAATCTGTTTAACGAACCTCAAGCGGAGTTTATCGTATATCTTCTTCTTGCAACAGAAGATGACGAAGATGGCCACGCCGATCAGAAGGTTGTAAGTGTCAGGAATGACCCAGATGCTGTCCAGAAGACGTGGAGTGACAGAGCTGATCACCTCTAGCAGCCAGTTCAGACCCATCAGGATAGATAATTTCAGGTAAACCAATAACCTGCAAATAAAAACAAGATTATGTAGATCACTAGCTCGCTCGCGTAGTTTTATAAAATTGTGACAAACTTTTCCTATTTGAACGAGTGTGAAGTGAAGTAACCACCGACAAAAAGTCCATTATTCATGTCAGCGGCTCGGCGGGTTTGGTGTATTTATAATGAGCCTCAAAAAGATAAAATTCCGACGACCTCATAAAGGTAGCAGGAAGGCGTTGAATGCAGGTCGTTACTAATCGGTCAATATGGGAAACTATACACAGGAGTGGACGTCTTGTGGCTGAAATGATGATGATGATAAAATTGCTTGTAAACCTCTGCTTCTGCTGTCGATGAGCAGCTGGTGTGCCGGCAGCCGCGGAGTCGAGCACCGCAGTGCCTCGGCCGAGGCGCCATATGTTGAAGGCCGTCATGAGGAAGAACATCCAGTTCAGTATGATCATGATCAGCAACGGCATGTACAGGTAATACAGCTTTTCTCCGTCTGCAATATGGAAGAAAACAATGAGCTAAGGATTTTTGTAATAAATCTTCAACAAGATTTTTATGGCCTGAAAATCGTCATTTTTCTTTTTTTAAGCCAAAACAGCCCTTGGCTCACATTCACATCTCACCTGATAAAAAGTGATGATCCGGCCGAAGGTGGAATCGCTCATTGGTGACCCTTTTAGCACACTTTTCGTAAATAAGGTATATGATAGCAATCACGTTTATAATTTTATTATTCTAATGTTAGTGACTATTTCTTCTTCTTATCGTGACGAACAATAAACCTACATAGTGTCAGCCCAAAACTCCGCTACAAGTGTGGCATTGTCAGCGGCATTAATTTAATCCTCCTGCGTGCTCGGGCACAAAGGGCACGACATCATGTGCTTCATCGACTGGGGAACAAAACCGCACCTGGACTCCAAGTTTGAGCCATACAAGAATCCCCACCTAAACCGATTGTCCTTACTACGGCCGACTTGCGTCGGAAGTCTATTTAAAGACTTCCAGGTAAGCCAGGGGTGCTACTAACCTTCCAAGAAGCAGCCTTTTCCAGGAATGGCAGGGGTAACAAACGCGGGCCACCACCTCATGTTAACGGAGTTGAGTACGCCCAGCATGACTGTCATCGCCAAAGACACCCCAAACGCGTATAGGCAATACATTAAGAACTTGAAATTCTCGCCGCGACGGTGGATGGGACGAGCCTTGGCGTACCCTCTGGAAAAAATGGTTTTTTGTAGTTGTTTTTATGATTATTTTTTCCTTCTTATTAGACATTATTGAAACATGAAGGTTCGCAGTTAATTTTAGGAATCATAAGCCACTGAAATCACAGAAAATCTGCATCTGAAATTTCGTGTAACTGGATGACAGATTTTTTCAGTTGCTGTGATTGAAAAATTGTTCAAATGGGACCAACCCGGCATCATGTCTTTTAAGTCATAATTTTTCTTTCATTTTGAGTTCTGGGGCATTAAGAAAAATACAGTCGAATTGATCCTTTTTTGAAGTCTTTAAGCAAGCAAATGATTTTTCCATAATAATTCATATTTACCTGAAAGTCCACCAAATGTCGCAAGACATCACGTTCATCCAGCAAAAACTCGACAGGAAAAAGAAGTATGTAAAGTACGCTGAAAAAAAAAGAAAACATGAACAAAAACATCACGTTTATAAATTATAACATTCGTGGAGTTGCAAAACCTTCTATGGAGAAACAAAACATTGCTATTGCGACTTGCTCCAAACCTCATAAACGTATTTGTCTGTACCTAATACTTTAGAGTTTTATCCAAAGTTTTTGCGTGAACCCACGACCTCTTTTATATCAGTTTATAAATAATTGGTGGTACAGTTTATAAATAATTTCTCACATCAATAGAAAGCTGAAGTGGCAATGGGCAGGGCACATAGTACGCAGAACAGGTTACTGACGGCCGATGGGGAAGCAAGGTTCTGGAATGGAGGCCACGTAAGTACTGGAAAGCGCAGCGTAGGACGTCCACCCACAAGGTGGACCGACGACATCAAGATTAGGCTCTGGATGCAGGCCGCTATCAACCGGTCATTATGGAAATCATTGGTGCAGGCCTATGTTCAGCAGTGGACGTCCTATGTCCTGAAATGATGATGATGATACTTACTAGTCCACACACAGCCTAGGACGGGTAGGTGTCCGCTCTGGACGATGAGCAAGCAGATGAAGGAGCAGAGCAGGCAGAAGACGTATGCCATCAGCACTTTCCCGCCAAGGTTCTGGAGTTCTGGCAGCAGCAGGTATACCACGAGAACGAGGATCAAGAACACGCATGAAGCCATCATACCTGAAAGCCATAAAAGTGATTTTCTTGTCTATATTAAAAAACTCGCGTGAAAAAAAGTGAAGCGCCATGTCTAGAAGCTTTGTTTTATTTTCTAAAATTGTGTTTAGCCGACTATTCATCTACACTAATATTATAAAGAGGAAAACTTTGTTTGTTTGTTTGTTTGGTTGTAATGAATAGGCTCAAAAACTACTAGACCGTTTTTAAAAATTCTTTCACCATTCGAAAGCTACATTATCCACGAGTAACATAGGCTAAATTTTATTTTGGAAAAAATAGGGTTCCGTAAAATATTTGAGTTTTTCGGAGTCCACGCGGGCGAAGCCGCTGGCGGTAAGCTAGTGGGTAATAATAGTGGATTGTAGACAATGAAACAAAACACTGCAACATCAATTTTATTTTCAAGTTCACTCAAGAAGTCCGCGTCAGGTTTCAGTAAGCCACATCTTATACTGAAAACGCTGTTAATGTATACTGCGAATGTCTTGTGTTTGTACCTTTATCAATAAATTAAATAAGTAAACTGGCTAAATGTGCCAACCTCGTGAAGCTATAAGTAAACAATGGAAATGATCTTTTTAAGCGACAATAGCCAGTGGCGTAACTACTATACCATCCGAGGCCCGTGGTTTTTTCTCAAGGGGCGCGTTGAGCTCGATCTGATGTTACTTCCTAGGTATAAGCAAAGGCGCATTTCTACAATTTATACATGAATGAATCAAGATTTTGATTGTTTACCTCCTCTGTAGAAGTTACTGGGCTGAGGTGGCGGCTTGCCAGTGAAAGTAGCCCACACTCCAAACACAAACGTATTATCAGTCAGATTTTGCTGGTAGTCCAGGCAGTACATGTCTGGAGTATCTATAGTCCATCTATTGTAAGAGTTCGGAGCCTCTATATGCATAACGCCATTCTGAAAAGAAAAAACATACAGGTTACTATTTTTTATAGGACAGGAGGCAAACGAGCAGTCGGATCACTATAGTAAATGATTATTGTCGCCCATAGCCCTAAGTACGCTCTGCACTATCCAGAAGTTTCCCTTTATTCTTCATTAGGCTTGTTTTGTAATATAGTATCTAGAACAGGATTTCCCAATTTTTTTTTGCCAAGGAACCCTAATTGATTATACTTTTCCTAGCGGAATCTCCGTACTAATCCGCCCGCACGCCCTGCCCCTCCCTTGTGCGTAAACAAGTCGGTGCGAGCGAACAACGTCGGTCACGAAACGTGGGATAATATTTTTTACGGAACCCTTGCGGCCTTTCTACGGAACCCCAGGGTTCCGCGGACAACCATTCGGGAACCGCTGATCTAAACACCGTTTTCTGACGCTTCCAAATTAGATTTTTTTACATAGTATTCAGTAATCGGACGCAAAACTATTTAAGCTACGTAATTTTCTTGGGTCATGGCTTTTGCACAAAATTTTTAAGTTGTGCCTAGGATTAGTTAACTATCAACCACATGAATGTTTTACAGTTGCCATTGATTGTATTAATTTAGATTTTAGCAATATTAGGTAAACAAGAGACCTTTTAGGTTTATAATAAGCCATTTCAGTCAAACAAGACAAACAATAAGAAGAACTGCCACGATGAATCAACGCCACATTATTATTCACGAAAATTAGTCATATTATTAAGTTTGCTATAACAATGTTGAGCTTTATCGAAGTATTATATTGTTTGACTATTTAAATATATTTTATGTTAAGTACATACGAGTACCTTTTCAACGATAAGACCGTCTGGATTGTATGTACAGTGGGCCACAGTTCCAGCTAATCTTTTCCGTTTTTCTCTCGCTCTCATCAAATGGCGATTCTTTGCGATAGAACGAGACGACATGACCGGAAATGGGTAGCTGGTACGAGTAGTGTGACTTTATTAATTTATGGAGTGTTGAGTGATTTAATATGAACTTATTGCCACTTCAAAACTTAGGCATATCAATAGAATAATTTATTTTTGTTTCAAAATTTAATTTATTTATATTTTCGTGAATCAACAGTTACTTAGGGTTTTCTTTTTGTTGTAATTTTATTGTTTATTGTTTAAGATTCTCTTTTGTATCTTTTTGTTTCTAGTTTGTTTTATAAATAAACATTTGGACAAAACATGTTGGACTTGACATTTTCTATCGACCATTTTGTTACCATGTTTCTGAGCAAATAAATGATTTATTATTTATTATTTATTTTATCCCTGAAAACTGATTTCTTTTCCTGTTCGCCACAGAATGTTGTATGCCTTAATATCAAACAAACAATACCATTTATTGTTCGAATACTAGGTACCTAATTCTATAAAATGTACAGTCAATGACTGTTAAAATACCTACCTACATAATACATTAGGTACCTACCTAGGTACTTAGTAAGGCAATAGATATACTGTGGCAATAGGGATGTTTCCGGAGTAAAAAAGTAAGAGTTTGAATGTTTTGCTAGAGGATAGGTAGGAACTGTTAGAAACACTCGCTTTAAGGTGACTTTTATTACGGAAATCACATTTTGAACTGCTGTTCATGTTCATCCTGAGAAGTTATAACCAAAGAACAAGAGTAAGAATGAAATTAAAGAAGATTGTATAAAAAGTCTTTTACACTGTGTGTATCACATGTGTACACAAAATGTGTACTTAAAAACCAAAACCAACCAAAACTATTATGGTTAAAATGTGGGCAGGAGACTGATTTGTGTCGCCACGTAATCAAGTGTTCAAAGATTTCAATTATGTACTTATATTTGTAATAATAAGGTTTAAATTAGTCTGAATTCAATTATTCACTACCTTGCTTTATTATGGTTTGCGGTAAGGGCAACGAATATAATTTACTGAGAAATATGATGAGGTAAATTGAATGAAAATCACAAATAATCGTACGTAAGTAGTAATAAATAGGTATTACACATACATTTTAAGCTTGATTTCCACCAAAGCGGAAAGGAGATGACAGATCTTTGAATAAGTAAACAATCAGATTTCCGAATGGAAGGTGAGCTGAGAGATGGATGATGTGGAAATAAAGCCGGGTGTTTTTTTGTCCTACATAATAAAAAAACATGTTAACATACAACTTTTTTATAGGCAATTTTGTTGAATGTTGACATGTTTTGTTGATTGTGTAGGGCAAAACACGCGCTGGAGCTTAATGAACACTTATTACATTTCACCCGGTTTTCAACAAAATGGAGAGGGATGAAGTTGAGGTTGTTTTTCTGGTTACCTACCTAAGCAAGCTTTTCAGTCACCAAATTACAAAATAAACCTTTTTTGCGTCAGTTTTTAGTCTACAAGATAACTATCTCACTCATTTCAATGATTCCCCGCTATAAAGGTAGGTCTTAACTTAAGACTAACCTTAAGACTCTTAAGTTAGCAATTATCTTGTGACCCGTTATTTCCGATTTCGAAATAACTCACACAGGGTAACGTAATCAACACAGGGTTATTTTTTATAAGGAAACTAGCTTTTACTTGCGGCTTCACCGGCGCAAAATTTTGTCTGTCACAGAAAAACTTAATCGCGTACATCTCTGTTACAAAAACCCGGATAAAAACTATCCTAATAATATCCTTTCCCGGGGATCAATCTATCTCTACATTTATCAAAATCGGTTCAGAGGTTTACGCGTGAAAGGTTATTAAACCTTTGTTTGTCACCTGTCATCCGCTTTGCAATGGAGGGAAGTCGAACCTTTTAATTTCGAACTCCTACTTATGTTCTTCTGATTAATTTCGTTGCGGGTCCAATGACAGTTTAACTTTCCCCCGGGACAAACTTGACCTTCATTGGTTGGGTTTTTATGGCGGTCAAGCTGTAGATCCTGGCCATACAGGAGTTGCAGTGGTGGGAACGAGAGGTGGGAATAACAGACATACAGAATTACTTTCGCATTTATAAGTATGTAGTTATTAAGCAGGGAAATAGATATAATCTTTTACTTATTAACTACCCAATAATACCCTTTTTCATTAACGTACACCATTTTTCCATTCCTTATTTAACCCTTTATTAACTTTATTGTCGCTACAAAAACCCATCAGAAATACTTTGCATTATTGTGTACGTACACTAATGTATTACTATTAATGTGTTAATTAATATTATTATTATTTTAAGACGTAATTAGTTCCAGTAATCGGCTAAACAAGGTACAGGAAAAGTACCAGCAAAACAGGATGAGTACCAACAGTTCCATATTATGCGTATCACACTAACTACGTATACATGTCGCAGGCAAATTGTATGATTCCGCATTTTACAAACGGCGTCGTCAATTCACAAACGCTCGCTGTTCTATGAAATGCCGAAGGCAAAATGTAAATTGCCTTGGCACTTTATAATATGTCAAAACATTTGATAGCCAATTCAACCGCTGTTTACAAAATGCCGCGGCAAATTGAAGTATTTAGTTCTTTTTCTCACCACGCGAGGCGCTGCTAATTAAAACAAGAAAAATGGCGTCGGATAGCGGTGTTGTGATACAGAAAACAGTGCAAATTCTACGTATTCAAAGGACTTTTCACAAAAAAAGACATTTATTATACTTAGTGAGTTAAGAAAATTTTACGATTCACAAATAGGAGCAGCTTTTTCAAAGCTATGGAAAAATAAAATAGTTTTTGAGGTTATCCGGCACGTAAAACACGCTAAGGTGACAATGGAATCTGGTGCTCGGAGGACTGCTGCGGAATATATTGGTATAAAAAATATTGTGTTATGTCTTCTAGACTTCTTCTTGGTATAATTAAAATGTAAGACTTATCTAAAGGACTGACTATCGAAACTTATTTAATGTCATATTTTTATGTACCTACCTATAGGTACGTCAATAGTTTAAATTAGTCTAGTGTTGTTTTTGTTACGAAAATATTTCAATTACTTTAGGAGTAGAAGTATTTTAGGTTTGTCTTACTTGAATGGATACCTACCTGATTTCTGAAATTATGTCTGATTGGTCCAACATGTGTTTTATGATGGTCACCCTATTGCAACAATCATAGTCGAAATTTTATCAATTGAACGAGTTGCCAATTTGCCTTCGGCATTTCATAGAACAGCGAGCGTTTGTAAATTGACGACGCCGTTTGTAAAATGCGGAATCATACAATTTGCCTGCGACATATACAACGTGATGTCCTAGAATTCGATTAGGCATCGAATTTCATAAAAATTCGATGAGTTCGTCAAAAATATTACTCAAAGTAACATTTATCAAAACAATTTATCCAATTTTAGATAGATAGGTAAACGTTTATTTGTATTTCAGGAAAACCACATTACAAAATGTAGAAACCCCAAATCAAACATCACTTAATAAGTTGTCCAAAAACAAAGTTGTTATTAAGTTAGAGAACGTAATTAAAATTAAGCAATTTAATATTGGAAAATATAGGAAATTGATGATTTGGTAGATAATAGTGGCTGCGATGAGTTATTGTTTAGGTTCTGAAACGTCGCTAAATCATAATTTTAATATTTGAACCGTTAATTTGTAACTTTAACTTCTTCTGTCATGTATGTAAAGTATAGTTTTCGATTTATTATATTTTTTTCAGGTCTTGCGTTGTTTGATTGATGTAGTAAGTAGGCTTTCTTTTAATTTGATAATAGCAAAGAATATAGTAATAGGTACATACGTGGGACACTATTTAAGTTGTGAGCCTAACTATGAAAACAAAGTAGTTTATTATTAAAATGGTATTGATTGCGTTTATTGGTATTGTCTTTCATGATTTATGTACTTTTCAATGTGTCCGAAACACTTTTCATAGCATTTTTTCCACTCAGATTGAGGCACCTCCAAAGCATGGTTTTTGACCGCACCGACAGTTGCTTTTGGCTACATAAATCGCTGTTCACGCATTTAATTTAAATATATGGATACCAAAAGAAGTGTTTAGATTCCAAGCAAGAATTTTGTAGCGTTAGACCTGTTTATTTCATATTTTGAGTATTCAAATAGTCAGTTGTTTGACGAGACGTGTAAAAGCTCACATTTTCGTCACGAATGGCGATTCGACTATGCTGGTCAGTTTCCCTTATTAAACTGAAGACTTTTGGAAAAAAAGTGGCTGTTTACTATTAAGAATTAACCATTCTAAATTTCTCTAGTGACGTTTCTGTCATATAATCGGATATTTCGAAAAATTAGGCGACCGCAAGTTTCAAAGTGTTCCGAGCGCATGGGACTTTTGTTGGAATTGGTTCATCTTAAAACATCTCCATAGTCGATAGCTGTTTATTTTCAGGATCATTATGCATAGATTCTTAATTCGTCAACTGTCACAATTTTAAAAACGGCTTTTAAAGCTTTTTAAACGTATTTATCAAACATTTTCAAGTACTAAACGACACAAGCGTCCTATTGAGCGTTTGAAAAATTTTGTGACATCCAGCGAGAAAAAAACGTATTAACCATAATATGGTCATACAATATTTTATTACTGCTAGTGGAATTAATGCCTAAAATTATCTCAATCATACGATATATCACATAACGAGGTTTCTCTTCCATTTTTCGGACAACATCAATGTTTTCCGCCACTATTAGTCATTTTGGACGACTTTCGCAAAGTTTACTGGTGAGCCAATGACATACAATATTATACTTCTTAAAGTAGCGTTTTACAATGGTAAAAGACAGATCTTTATCACCAAAAGTGAAATTTAGCTGACCGCTTCAGTTTTGTATTGATTAACCACGTCGAAAGTCATAATAAATCTTCGCGCGAAAATTTCCGCAAGTCAATTCCATGTTTTTGTAGTCAAGATAATTTTCAATTCAATGTTAATAATACAAAACGTGCTCAAATGATAAAAAGTTTTGAATAAGGTTGTAGCCAAAAATGACAAACTTTTCATTAAAAGTATCAGATGTCGTCTAACAACACGTTATGTTGTCGAGGCTCACAACTTAAATAGTGCCCTAGTTATAATAATATTTACCTAGGTGTCCATAACATTAAACCGGGCAATTTTAATTATAATAATTACATTCTAAAACCTCATGTTAGCAAAATTAATAATTGTCTGATCTGAGTCTCCCCAAATTCCTTAGTGAAGATCTTTTTGTTTAACATTCACATAAAGGTTACTGCGACACAAGTTTTGCTTAGTGCAGTATCCGATAGATATAAAGACATTATGTATTCTTTACTGGCAATAAAAGTTTTTATTATTAACTCTTTATTATTTTTTCTTAATTTTAAAAATAAAAACTCACCTCATCCAGGTAGACGACGAAATTCATTCTAATCGCTTCATATACATACTTTCGAAACGACACATTTTGGAAAGCATTGGGTAGCAGCTGGAACTGATCAACGAAGCTCATGTTTGTTAACTGGAGCTCTTTTTCTTCCTCTCTATATATAGGCATAGATATATTATGGGGGATCGTCTCATTGTAAGAAATGCACTTTTTGCTCTTGTGCATAACATGTTTACCGAACGGACAGCACTTCCAAATACAGTTTTTTGCCCCACAATCCAGATAGTCCAAAGAACTTGCAATTCCAGTCACGAAAACTGAGGAGAATATTAGAATACACCGTAGGAGACTCATAGTAACGTGTTGCTCGTTTAATGGAATTTGTATGAATGTATTCCTTGTTGATAGTGGTTACTGGAATAAAGCTTCAGACACAATATTGATTTTGCAAAATCGCACCTATTTTGGTGCACTTTAAGACCGAGTTCAGCTTGATGAGCCGATGTCTGTATTTTTATGTAGCTGGTGTTTTCATTGCTTATTAATATTGAGTTAGGTACAGTCGACAGCACATCATTTACTGTACATTTTATTATAAATAGCACCTATTATAATGACATAAAATGGCGTGGTAGGTACCTATAGGGTATACCTATAGGTACCGTGGTAGGTAAATGGGTATATGAGCCGACACTAGCCCATGTTAACATGGGCATATTATAAATGGTATGGTGAAGTCAGAAAATTGATATCTTCATTTTAATTATTTTAATTTTCATACAAATCGGATTTTATAAAATTTATTTTGTATGAAAATTAAAAAAGTTAAAATGGTGATATCAAATTTCTGATTTCACTATACCATTTATATGGTTATGTTAACATGGGCTAGTGTCGGCTCATATACCCATTTACCTAACACCCTGTATAACTCGATGTTTTGTTTTCGTCTGTACCTAGTTAATTTAAGTGTCAGTAAAATAATGATTTTCCTTTTTTAAGGTTATACTGTGTTTTTGGGCCGATAAAATATTGTTATCATTCATATTTATGAACAGTAGACGGAACTAACTAAGGGTAAATTAATTTACTGTTAAAATTAATTTATATATATTTGTTACTGGCCTGGTATTGATTTACCTGTTTTTGTAATGAAGGCACTTGATACGTCTATTCAGGTAAATCCTATTTTTAGACGAGTTAAAATGGTCTCTAAATATGAAAATGCAAAATGGACGAGAGCTGAAACATTTAAATGGTGCTACGAAAGTACGAAACTATTTTTCCAGTTCTAAGATTTAGCTTCAATTGGGAAATAAAAAATATCTATAATTTATTTAAACATTCTTTTATTACACACATTCATACACGTTTATAATAAATGCATAATTTTATCTTGCTAGAAGTAGATTATTATAAATCAGCGTCCTACATAATAAATCTGTTTTTCGATTAAAATTGTATTTATTGATCTTTCTTAATATTATGAAAAGTATAACGTCAGGCTACTTTAATTAAAACTGATCTTTTTGGTTGCAATGTAATAAGGTAAATTTGGAATGGCTGTAGTACCTACCTAGTATCCACTAACATGCCTACATTATGTAATTTATTCCAATACCTAGTTATATTTATAAATACTTGTCTGCGTATTCGATAAATTAGGCCAATGGCTATTGAAACAATGAAAATATTTTCAAAACAAAAATACTTTTCATTTGAAAATTCAAATCTTTTAAATAAAAGCTAAGTACACTATTTTGTCAGTCTAACCAAAAATGTAACATATTAATATTTATTAAATATGTATTTATTATAATTATAACAATGAGTATTTCTCAACTGAAAAATTATTAAACTTTTTTAAATTAAACTATGGAACTTTTTCAGATTCTTAATAAAACTATATTACTAAAATGCTTAAAAACTAATTGTGTAACATTAAAATAGATACCTAAAGGACTAGAATATAATTTGTGCTTAACCTAAAGTTATTTAATACAAATAAAATAGAGTTTTTAAATCAAAGAATCGTGCTCAATATAGTTTTTAACATTATCCTAAGCTTAATATTGTGTAAATATTTTACGAAGCAAGCGAATGCATCAGACTCGAAGAAAGATTAAAAAAACACATAATATTCTAATATTATTAGAAGTATTTATAATTTACAAAAATTAACCATCGGTCAGTCGTTTAATCGATAAAGGCATAAGTCAAAATATTGTATGGGTCACTACTTTTAATCGAGTCTAAGATTTGTTTGTCGCCTTGAAATATTTTTGTTGGCTTTCCTTTCCAATTTGGTAATATTTGCTTATGTTTGAAGCGTCATAGTTTTATGATGTTAATAAAATAGGTAGCAGTCAACGTTAAATAGTTCGTGACGTAACACCGATAGTAGAGAAAAAGATCGCAACACGTCTTTGTTAGAATTGGATTGTGTATACTGAGTTTCTTGCGCTGCTTCTTCTCAGCACTGGCCCATTATTGTCCTGAAGCAATGGTAGGGTTAATACTGGGACGTGTAAAAATGCTTTTTAAAAGCCTACTTTGTATAAATAAAATTAAATGAGTTTTTTGAGTTGTCAACTTATTGGCCACTTTGGGTGTCATAAACTATTTGACGCTGACTGTACCATCTAAATAGAAGGCGATCTTATGTCTCAAGTTTTATTGCATTAATTTTGTAAGTTATTAGGAGATAGGTAGCGCTATACACGAAACGTAGACTTTGGGTGAATACAACAAAGTCGTTCAGTAGGCGTTTCAGCAGTTTTCTGAAGTAAAATAGTTAGTACCTCTAGCATGAACAACTTTCGTTTTCGAATAGTTTGTGTATTCGACAAAATTCGATACTCAACCTTCGAATTAAACGATAACGTGACAATTTTGATTCTGAACATTAGTTTCGTGCAACTATTTCGAATAGTTTGTGTATTCGACAAAATTCGATACTCAACCTTCGAATTAAACGATAACGTGACAATTTTGATTCTGAACATAAGTTTCGTGCAACTATTTTAAATACTAAGTTTACAAGGGCGCTGTTGGAGTTTTCGTACTTCGAATACGCAAACCATTCGAACTTGAAAGTTTTTTATGCTAGCCACAGTTCCTCTGTGGATGTGGATTCCAGGTGAAGCTAGGAATGATCCCATGAAGTAGGTATGGTCTTTATTCGTAGCGGGAAAAACCCTGTTTTTAGACAAGAATCATAAAGAAAAATTAGAACTTGGTCTAATTTCAATTGCGTTTGAGGTAGCGTGACGTGTGACGTGAGTTGACGTCACAACGTGGTGTAAGTTGACGTCATCATTTCTCGTGCATCCTGATGGAGTTGAGGCGGCTCTCGTCGCGGGAGGAGGTCCGGGAGGACACGGTCGTCTGGTTCCTGGACATGGGATCACCTCGGAGTTGCTTGTATCTGCACAAATAGGCATTTAGTTAAAAAACGGCACCTTTTTTATTCAATACGAAACCAATACGGTAATGCACAAATAGGTAGGTGTCTAGTTAAAAATAGTTGATTGTCTTCCAGCCTTCAGCTTCAGTACAAAATATGTGCATGAAACTAAAGTATTATTTAATTGCAAATATTATTTGGTTTTATAATGAAGCTAACGGTAACAAGATTTTTTCAAATGGATAATTGAAAATCTTATGTAAGTAGGTATATTATTTATAGGTACAACATGCAAAGAAATAACAGGGAATTAACTATTTTATTAAATTTAGATCTACCGATCGTATTTGATCTATTATAGGAACACATAAATATTTAGTTATAAAATATTTAGATTATTTATAATAGTTATGACAAGAGTTATGTAAATAAAATAAAAACATTGTAAATCACAAGTACACTTATGGTAAGGTAAGCATCATTTATTCGCTTGGTAGGTAAAACAAATATGTATTAGTCACAAAAAATAAAGAGAAGTTATTTAAAAGCATCTTAAATTGAACCCGAGTTGCAAACCATTGTGCAAAATATTTATTCTAATTTTTCTAATTTACTGGAGTGCACTACTACTAAAAGTGATTTTTAACTACTGCATTTGCAATAATATAATGTGCATGTACCTCACCTCAACACCCAAATTAATAACCCACATGCAAGTCATATAAACCTTTTTCAACCGACTTCAAAAAAGGAGGAGGTTCTCAATTCGACCCGTATGTTTTTTTTTTTCTATGTTTGTTACGCAATAACTCCACCAATTATGAACCGATTTGAACAAATCTTTTTTCGGCGTATAGGTAATACCTCAAGGGTGGTCCCATTTAAATTTAAATAAGAAAAAACAACCCCCAAGGGTGGAAAATTGGGGATGAACTTTTTTATACGCAATATCTCCGCCGATTATAAATCAATTTGAACGATTATTTTTTTGTTGAATAGGTATTATCACAAGGGTGGTTTCATGCGAATTTGAAGAAAATATTTCACCTCCAAGGGTGGAAAATTGGGGATGAACTTTTTTATACGCAATATTTTTAATTTTTAGTTTTTTTTGTGTTCACGCATTTGAAGTCGGTTTTATTTTTTTTAAAAGTTAATTATTCTGTTTAATGTTTTCTAAACTTTAAACTCCATGCATTATTAAAAGAGTGTTGCATTTCCAAGACTAAACTAAAAGAAACGCTTAAAAACATTAAAACTACTAAGAATAACGATTGATTTTCGCTAGCACTTAGCAAAAAAAATATGCCACATTTTCAGTGTCAGAAATGCTAGATTGAGTCGAGGGGGAGACCCATTTAACTATTTACTACTCTATTACGTAAATACTACAGTACCTCTAGTAGGAAAAACTTTCGAGTTCGTTTCGTTGCGTATTCAAAGTGTCATCGAAAAATTTTGTATGAAAAATTAAACAGCGCCCCCTATATTATAGCCGCCCTAGGGGGCGCTGTTTAATTTTTCATACAAAATTTTTCGATGACACTTTGAATACGCAACGAAACGAACTCGAAAGTTTTTCGTACTAGAGGTACTGATATTTACTGCTCAAGTGGGTTCGACAAAATTACGAAAAAATGGCCAGCTCGCGTGGCATGGCAAAGCAAAAAGTACAAAAAAACATAAATTACTTACTTAAATTATTATTATAAGCAACGTATAAAATGAACAAAGTTGGTTAACTACAAACATGGTTTTAGAATGAATTTCACCACACCTGTTCAGTCGGTAACAATCTTTTAGCACCGTTCGTTTGATTTTCAGCCAACCCCACCCTAAAAGATGTAGATGAAATGATATTGAGTAAATGAAACGCAAAGATCCCTTATAGGCACTTAGATGTTTGTTATCCCTTGAATAGATTATTGTCCAATGATTATACTGATGATCTATTTGAAATACAAAAAAAACCTAGTGGACAAGTTAGTTTGATTTATTCTATATTTTACTTATTTATAGATATTACAGGGAGAAAATGTGAATAATAGCGGATTACTGCCCACATGATAGAGAAATGGAATTTGTATGTAGCTTTGTAAGCTTTTAAAGTTTCTGGTTAGGAATAAACATTATTTTTATAGATACCTACTTGATTTTATATTTTTAAGACACAGTCAAATAATATTATTTTCCATTTCATTAGAAAGTACCGCATTCTATTGTAACGCATCCGGTAATTTTTACATAAATTTACAAAATTTCACATCACTAGTAACACACTGCATTGCAATTTCTCAAACCAATCAAAGAAAATGTACAGTGCATTCCAAAAACCTCCAAATATCCGTTAGTGGTTGTTAGTATCCATACAATTGTTGTTTTAGTGTTTTATTGTCCTCCTGTGCCAGTATTTCAAGATGACCTGTAGTATACCTTATGTTTCGGTTTTCTCCTTTCTTTTCTTGTAGTTGGTGATCATTTTCTTCATCTCCTTTTTTGTATCAATATGAATGAAATTTTGAAAATTTATATCATGTTTTGGACTGTTTTTTGCATTACATTCTGGTCTTTTGTCTTTCTTTGGTGGTAGATCTATTAAATCTTATCCTATTGAGTATTTTATTTTTAATTGCTATTTTAAGTCATCGACAGTCATCATAACTTTGATATTTTATCCATTTTCATGTTTCCATCTGAATCAACATAGATAGTGCTCCTCAAAGTGTCAACACTATCTCTTGGTCCTTGTTGTTCTAGTCTTCTCCTGTGTATATTTTCTAGATTTATAATTTCACCAGAACTACTGTCTCGTTGATGGAATCTCTCTTTGATCCTGGTCACAGAACAATTATTTTCATGTTATTTCACAATACAATATAAAATTATATACTTGGTTAACTCCCATCACCTTGATATCATAACTCCTTCAGGGATGGACCTTCACCCACAATCAAGTTGATTTTCGTATCTCTACCAAAATGTTACTACAACATTATGTTATCTATACTTATAATAAATCTGTAGAGAGGTCAATTCTGTACATGAAATATATTTTCAAAATAACTATCAGGGGGCGATTAGTGATCGATGCTGATGCCAAAAATGCAATCAGTAAAATTTTTGTCTGTCTGTCTGTCTGTCTGTCTGTCTGTCTGTATGTTCCTTATAGAAACAAAAACTACTCGACGGATTTTAACGAAACTTGGTACAATTATTCTTCATACTCCTGGGCAGGTTATAGGATACTTAGGAATTCCCACGGGAACGGGAATTAGCGGGAAAATCCTTTTGTATGAAAAATCTAAACCGCTTAAGTTAGACGCTTGAAATTTGGCATGCAGGTACCTTAGTAAACTTAAAGCTTAGTTACAACAGGATATTGCAAAATTCCCACGGGAACGGGAGTTAGCGGGAATAAACATTTGTATGAAAAAATCTAAACCGCTTAAGTTAGACGCTTGAAATTTGGCATGCAGGTATCTTAGTAAACTTAAAGCTTAGTTACAACAGGATATTGCAAAATTCCCACGGGAACGGGAGTTAGCGGGAACAAACATTTGTATGAAAAAATCTAAACCGCTTAAGTTAGACGCTTGAAATTTGGCATGCAGGTATCTTAGTAATTTTAAAGCTTAGTTACAACAGGATATTGCAAAATTCCCACGGGAACGGGAGTTAGCGGGAACAAACATTTGTATGAAAAAATCTAAACCGCTTAAGTTAGACGCTTGAAATTTGGCATGCAGGTATCTTAGTAATTTTAAAGCTTAGTTACAACAGGATATTGCAAAATTCCCACGGGAACGGGAGTTAGCGGGAACAAACATTTGTATGAAAAAATCTAAACCGCTTAAGTTAGACGCTTGAAATTTGGCATGCAGGTATCTTAGTAATTTTAAAGCTTAGTTACAACAGGATATTGCAAAATTCCCACGGGAACGGGAGTTAGCGGGAACAAACATTTGTATGAAAAAATCTAAACCGCTTAAGTTAGACGCTTGAAATTTGGCATGCAGGTATCTTAGTAATTTTAAAGCTTAGTTACAACAGGATATTGCAAAATTCCCACGGGAACGGGAGTTAGCGGGAAAAAACATTTTGTATGAAAAAATCTAAACCGCGTAAGATAGATGAAGGGGGTAAAACGGGATCCACGCGTACGAAGTCGCGGGCGGCCGCTAGTCGTTAATAAAAAAACTAATAGAATACTGCTCTAAAATACCATAAGGGTCTAAATTAGTCTTAAAATATTGTTTGGTCTATCTGTCACACACTGTGTTTTTAATATTTTGATTTTGTAAACGTTAAACAGTTTTGGCACACCGAAAACAATTTCAACGACAACACTGTTGAACAACACCACCAAACAAATTAAACATCAGACAAACCTTTTCTTGATGAGATGGAAGATTTTCCTCTTGCAGACGAAGATGATGAAGATGATGACGCCGATGAGGACGTTGTACGCGTCGGTGATGCGCCACACGTTGTTGGCTTGCGGGTAGATGGCGCTGATCACCTCCAGGATCCAATTTATGCCCATAACAGCGAACAACTTCACGTAGAGTAGAAGCCTGGAATATTTGAGAAATGTTTTTTTATACTAATTGTGCAGAACTGGCCGTGTAACGGCAGAGTAGAATACATTTGTCACCAACCCCTACTCTTCCCACGGGTGTCGTAAGAGGCGACTTAGGGACTACACATCAAACAGAGAAAGGGCAGCAGCGCTCTCTGAAAAACATCAATATTTTAAACTGCGATCTCCAACCCGCCTGCCAAGCGTGGAGATTATGGCAAAACCCTCCACTATAGTAGAGGAGGCTCATAGTCCAGCAGTGAACTGTAAAGGGCTGTTGATGATGTGCAGAATTAAATGCAGAAGAAGAACAAAAGATCGTATAAAAAAATAGATACTTTTTTGAGCTATTAAAACGCGATTTAATTAGATTTGGTATAGCAATGGACTATACTTATAATAGGAAACTTTGATAAAAAAATACGTTGTTAGTGATTCAATTAACAAATATTTATTTACTTATTCATTAAAATGAAACAATAATTAATATTAAAATTGAGTCATTAAAACTAGTTAATCGTAGACTATCCAATATCTACTATTTAAGGATAACTATTTAGTGGTTATCCTGATTAATTGAATCCAATTGTACAACAGCCACAGCTGATAATATTAGCACAATATTAGGCTGCTGTTTAACAGCATTGATTGTTATTTTCCTGAAGCAGTGAGTTTAAAACGGATGCAAAATACAAACACGCTTTATAAAAGGCCAGCTGTACACGGTCTGCTTCAAGCAGTTGAAACCGAAGGCTGGCCTTTTATAAAGCTTAATGCAAAAAATAAAAACTTTTATGACTTTTAATTAACTTTTAGACTGACCTTTGCCTGTCATTCCTGTGCTGGTCGTGGGTGGAACTCTCTTTGGACTTCAGCACCGACGTCTGCTGCTTAATCTGGGTTATCTTCAGCGCCGTCAGAACGAAGAAGATCATGTTTGCCGCGCAGAGGATGGTGATGGGTCCGTACAGGTATATGAGCTTGCTTGTGCCTGCAAAGATGTATTTAATAGTGGTTAAAGAAACCTATCGCAATTTGAGCTAGATGTACCAAAAGGTGTTATGTTTGGGACTGAATAGTCTTGTGGACATTTCATTGAAAGCCTACTCTTAAATTTTTGCAGTAACTTTAGTTTATCATGGAGAGCTTGAGTTCTATTGGGTTCTAACTTCATGAAAGGATATATAATATCCGGACGTTCAAAGTTTGATGTTATCTCAAGCATAGGGCGAAGCCTTGAGATGCGTCCACACTGGACGCATGGCCTAGCAGTTGCAATCAACACTTGTCATCCTGATCACCCTGTACTTGAGTGAGCAAGATGTCGAGCCTTGCGTACCTATGCGGCTATTGCGATAACCTAATCACAGGACAGAATTTATGACAAAGAATGAATCGAGTTTTAAGCGTAATAGAGGTGCACTGAACATTTACAATCAGATAAGAAACCTGGATGCGCGTAGCCCAGAATGGTCTGATGCCCCAAAGGATATTGGGCTACTGATTTGGAATGATAGTTGATAGTACTGACTCATGAGCTACGATAATAATCGCAAGGGGTCTGGCCTCTGATGTGACAGGGCATATTAGGTGCCAGCCTAGGTCCCCCCTGAAAAAGGACCCTAGATACGCCAACGGAAACCTGGAATGTCCTTGGTCTTGGTCTCCAAAGCACTTACCAAACAAGAAGCAGCCCTGGTGTCTCAGCATCGGCAGTAACGGGTGCGGAGGCAGACCGGAGAACTCCAGCGCTGTCATCAGGATGGTCAGCGCGGTAGGGACGCTGAACGCATACAGCGCGTATGCATAGAATCGTCCTCGAGTTGACAGCTTCTCAAGAGACAAGCCGCGTTTGCCGCTGGAAGATAGAAAAATAATATTTTAGGATCATAAACTCTCCAAAAGATGACACTACTCTTCAAAAGGAACTAAATAGCTAGTGTGGAAACAATGGGACTTATGATACTGAATAAACATTTTTTCTTTCTTACTTTCTTTCTTTCTAAATCTGGCCTTGGAAATCAAGATAAAAGAACAATTTAAGTAGCTTGTCTTTTGAGAAACTGTCTATTTACGAAATAAGGAGGCCTGTAAATAGACAGTTTGTCAAAAGACAAGCCGCGATTTCCTTTGGAAAATAGAAAAGGGTTGATACTTTAATACTTTTAGATTCACACTATTTTTATCGGAAGGAACTTCCTTGGCACTTGGTTGGTGCTGGAATGCTTGCAATCCAAGCTTTAAGTCCGAAATAAGAAGTAAGTCTTCAAGAGTGGAGAGTTAACCAGTTTCTGAAAGGTCGGCTTCTGATTTCGACTATCGGCATCTCATGTAACTTAGCGATCTAAATGGATCATGTTTTTTTCAAGCATCGTACATTTTGAAGTAAAAAAAATGACAATTTAATTAAAATACATAACAATTGTTTGCCTACTACATAAAAATGTATTATACTCGTATCTACTTTACGACCTTGACTTTTTATGGTATAGGCTCAGGCTATGTTAACATATTATCGTTTGTCCCAGCCAGACTTGAACACGCAACCGCACTAGGTGTTGTAGTTCGCTATTATCACCAACGAACCACAAAGTCGAATCTATTATAGTTTTTTTTCTTAATATTTTTTATGTGACACAACAAACGAGCAGACGGATCACCTGATGGTAAGTGATTACCGTCGCCCATAGACACGCGCAGACCCAGGGGCGTTACAGGTGCGTTGCCGACCTTTGGGGTTAGTTAAATAATATAATAGTGTTACATAATTTATGATTCATAAAAATCTATTTCAATCTAACAACTAATCTAAAGGATAATGAAAACCAGGATTATTGTTAGCAGATTATTTGAGATAATAATGGAGATATCCTGATAAGATAATACCTATAGTCGATGAACTGTAATTATTGAGCTGCTACTCCATGTTCGAGATACAGTGTGACCTAAATACGATGCAGGTAGGTATTGAATTATGTGTAATATAAGCAAAACAATATTTTTCCTTATTCTCATACAGAAATTAAAATAAATGTAATGCAAATGTAAATCTTTGTATGGAGAGCGGGGATTTCTAACATAGTAGGTATCTATTGTTACTTAAAAGAAAACCCCAATCGCAACCCTTTGATAATTTCAAATCTGATATTGAATAAAATTATTGTATTTTGTATCTGTATTTTCGCAAGTAGGCTTTTGAAAAGCACTTTTACACGTCTCAATATTAACCCTACCGCTGCTTCGGGACAATAAATGGGCTAATGCTGAGAAGAAGCAATGCAAGAAAAGTCACTATTGTTGACGTAAGCATTGTGGTATCTGTTCTGTACTTTGTAATAGAGGCGATTTTTTCATGTTGTCTTGTCTGTACATCTGTCATTAGAGCGAGACAGTTATGTTAACTGTTCTTTTAGTTCCAGGCAATAAAGACCGACGCGTGTCAGTTTCAATCAACTGCACATGGTAATTTATTTGGGAATTTCCTTCTTAGCATCTGCCAGACGACAGTTGAGATCATTATAGGCTATTTTTGAGCGAAGTTACGTCAGCCGATGACCCGATGGACTGATAGTCAATTAGGACATTTATGGGTGTGGGTACAGTGGGTTTCAGCTACAGTCATAAATTGAGGTTTCGTTAACAATCGACAGCATGAAGACATTTGTGTACCCGCCTCTATTCCAACTACATAAGATTTCATAGTTTGATGTCATTGACTCGTTGTATACAAGTTTGAATGTCAAATGTCAAAAGACTGCGACCCCTATTAAAGGTTCAGCTTTTTGCGATGCCCTCCTAAAATAGCTAATTAATGGCCAAACATTCATTCACCCTCGTACTTTACTAGTTTTTGTTTGCGATGCAATAAGTACTCCATCCATACTGAGCAGGCGTTTAGGTAGGCCCCAGGACGTTTTGATAGTCTTCAAATCAAGCGATTTTATTAACGCTTTATCCACAATAGAGATATCCTTGTACAAGTAGTCGTTTTTAAGTTATTTTTTTTCTATTATACTTGGAAATTGTTTAGTGTGTACTGCACGTCTTCTACTAACCAAATGTAACCTCACACGATATTCCTAATTGGTGTATTCTTGATTAAATTGCCCCAAATTGTTGGAAAAGTACCAAAGCGTGTTAATTAAGTTTAAAGCTAAATTACAGTGGAAATACGGTGACTAAGCCTTGAAGATTAATTGCTGACGCAGTTCACACCCAAAACTATAAATTTCACATACTTGCTGATCCTTTTTTCATTAACTTTACTTTTGCCTGTAACTTTGTTTTCATGTGTTAGGTTTGTTTAATATACCTACTAGACTAAGAGCTAGTGAACGCCAGACCTACGTCATTTTATAAAAGCTGAAAGTCTGTCAGCGTATGTTCCCAATATAGGATATACATAATACCAAACACAAAACATTAAATCTGATTTGAATGGACAATAATTAGAAGTATTTTTCCCAACAGCCAGACAGTTTTGACAGTTCCAACTCCTTGCCAGACAGTTTTTTTAGGGTAGTTCCCAAAGCCACGATGACCCAAACTTCATAATTCACCAACATTATATCCTATATCGGGAGCATACGCTGACAAACTTGACGAAAAATGACGTAGGTCTGGCGTTCATTAGCTCTTAGTTTAAACCTTCGCTGTCTGCGAGCTGTATTTCATGAAGCGTAAATAACAGATATTGAAAATGTTCAAAGAATATACAATACAACATAGCGTCTTCGAATACTGAGGCTTTCTTTGCTGTAGCTAGCATAGCTAGAGCTGGTGTCGTGTGGTTTTGGCAAAATATACGAGAAGATGAATGCTTCTTTTCGATAAAATCGGTCGGATTACCTATACAATTCTTATTAACCTGTTTGCGTAGCAACCAATCTTCGATTATAAGAAATATGTTTAAGGAAAAATATACATTATAACTTTGTTTACCTCAATTAGTACGGCAATTTGTAAGTGTATCGAGATGATATATATTTTCATGCTTACATTATCTATATACTAATATTATAAAGCTGAAGAGTTTGTTTACTTAAACGCGCTAATCTCCGGAACTACTGGTCCGATTTGAAAAATTCTTTCAGTGTTAGATAGCCCATTTATCGAGGAAGGCTATAGGCTACACAACATCACGCTACGATCAATAGGAGCAGAGCAATAATGAAAAATGTTGCGAAAACGGGTTTTCACGCGTACGAAGTCGCGGGCACAGCTAGTTGATGTTATATTAGGTGAAAATGATTTATAAGATCTAGAAATAGGTACAAATGACACATATTATATCGATATTCAGCCCAAAAATGTAGAAAATGTAATCGATATTTCTTCTTACCTGAAAGTCCACCAAATGTCGAAGCTCATCACGTTGAGCCAGAAGAACGCCACCAGCAGAGAGAAGTAGATGATGATAGCTGAAACAATAAAATGAAATAGATAGCAAGACTTCTTAAGATTTGTGTGGTAATGCATTATGCTTTAACCACACCAACGCCTGCAGATCGCCATCACCGGCGCGATCATAGGCCAATGACAGGTCACGCGACCCATGACAGTCCGCGCGACCTGTCATTGGCCTATAATCGCGCTGGCGATTTGCACGCGTTGGTGTGGTTGAAGCTTTAGGGGAGACCGAGGACAGTTGTAACAAAGTCAATTTCTCTGAACCTATGACAGTTTATCGAGCTAGCAACTTAGCGAATTCGTTGTTCTTTCGACTCTTCACAGTTTGCAATTGTCAGCTCGCTAAAGCCCGATTCGACCAAACTTATATCCTGGAATAACCCCTGGTATAGCTGGCACATTGACAGTTTCAGTATGGGAAGTACATTATGTCAAAACTGACGATTTATTCTGAGAATAATATTTAGGCCTTGTCCAGAAGGGCGAATTCGCTGCGAATGTCTTTGCGTGAACACGAGTTTATCTATGACGCGATTTACGCGCGAATTTACAACTCGCGCGTGTCCTGTGGACGCAATGTGGCTGCTAGTATCTCGCCAACGCGCGTATGATTCTACGCGCGTAGGATTCGCGGCGAATTCGCCCTCCTGGACAAGGTCTTACTCTTGTTTGGTCGAATCCACCATAACTTTCATAGGTGCAGATAAATCGGCTTTGTTGTACTCACCTCTTTTTAACTCTCAAAGCAAAAAACTCTATCTATTTATCTGTTTTTGATATAATATGATGTCATTATATCAATGTTTTTTCTGTCGGAGTGTTATCGGAAGTCGTTTCACGTTTGTTTTGTAAAAATAGACGGGCGCCATCTGTTTTGGCATATCAATGGAAAATACGCCAACTGGATTGTTTTGAAATAGGATCGGTGCGGATACACGGGGTATGTCACATCAATCATGAGGGTAGGTAGAGGTTAGTTTTTCGTTTGTATTTCGAAACCTTTGTTTTTCCGATGGTATTCAGAGGAAGCTGAAGCTATAGGGCATATAGTTTTTTTAATCGATCGGAAATTTAATCATAATATGATTCATATCGGGTCCAATTTTTTATTGAACAAACAAGGTATTTTCATGCTTGTTAATTTTGATACCTACCTACGTGTTGCATTTGCGTGCGTGCTAATAAGTAAAGGGTTTTGATGACCTAAAAATAATTGCATTTTTTTTAATATTAGTACCTTAGTGGCCTAGTTGTTATTTTGAGATGACATTGAACTCAATTATATCAATAGAAAGTCGGGAGTCGTTTTTAAGTGTCTTAAAGGAGCGCGTTTGTCAATAATTTAACTAAACTTGTTGGAATAGAGCCAAATATTCGTGATTATGCAATTGGTTTTTTATACGTAGTAGACAACGTTTAAAAGCTTTTCGGTGATATGGGATCATAATAATAAATTATATCACAGCAGTAAACTAGCTATTACGGTTATCTACTTATTTACTATTTGAGAATTTTATTGTAAGTTTATTCATTGTCTTCTAGAACTTAATAGTTCAATTCGTATGGATTTATAGAAGATGTTATAGAATCCAGAATCGATATTAAAAATTCACTTTGTGCTATCGTCTGTAAGTTCGTGACTTCGAAAGTTTCCTTTACCTAAAAAGCTACCGAAAAATTTCAGTTCATAAATAAATAATTTATAAGCTTTTTGAGTGTCTATAAAAGTGTTTATTGTTGATACAAGCCAAAATAATAAATGAAATGAGTAACCTTCAATCTATGCCCGACACTCCCAAACGCGAGACTCGTTTATAAATAGGCGCCATTGATAACAATAGCTACTTAGATTATTTTTATGAGTCGTCATAAGCATCTTATGGTAGCCGAAATATTCTATTGATAAACTATGATATCACACGCGGACGCCCGCGACTTCGTTCGTGTGAGGTTCATATAAAACTTAAACTAATATGTATTGGTTTTCTTATCACCTCGCTTTACTAAGCATTCTACATAATTATCACTATCATCATCATCTCAGCCATAGGACGTCCACTGCTGAACATAGGCCTCCCGCAATGCTTTCCATGCTGCCCGGTTGATAGCGGCCTGCGTCCAGTGCTTCGTCAGCTTTGTCTTCTAAATACACTACTTACCATCTGCTAAACCATCCATGTTCCTCCAAATATTAGATTTTTTTGAAAGTTTATTTTTAATTCAGTGACATATAAAGAAAATAATGATGTTGGTTCAGAATAAATAATTAAATTATTAGTGGGTAACGTATTCCTCTCAAGTCTCAATAGAATAAGTATAGTCATACTAAATAACATTCAGTATTGTCTAATCTAAAACAAAGAAGCATTTAACGATAGTTTTTGGAGCAAATTTTATTACACATCGTTTTGGGTATGATGAATAGATTTGTTAATGGATTCAATTCCAAATGAGACATTAGAAGTTATTATTGCTATTGATAATGATGTAAAAATTATGCAAATTATCTAACTCATACCATTATACCTTTACATAATAGGGATAATCATAATGCATAGTAGTATAAAAGGCTAATTAGGTATAATTAGGATATGACAACACTGCAGATTTTTTTGTAATGCTTTAGTGAAAATTGCGTCTTGTATTCTTTAGCTTAGATACTTCAATATACGAAATTTTACTCTTAACATTCTCAATTCTATTAGCATATTATTATGTATAAGCCGTAGCGTAACTTCATACTATTTTCCCATAAAGTATTTATGAAAATATCTGATACATGCCATGTTTATCTTACGGGGCAATAAACGTTTGAATATTTATTGTAGCCGAGTTTCTCTGGTAATCTGAAAATCTAGGTAACTATACAATTTTCAGGAACACTATTTCGACTTACCTATGTAATTTATATTGGAAAACGTTTTTTAATTATTTTCATATTTAATTGTAAACTTAACACTCTGTATAATGTGGTAATACGATGACTATCATTGAGATCGGTAAGCACCGTAAACAATTTGCTGCTGACGTTGTTCTAACCACATAAGTTAAAAATAGCCGGTATTTTTATTAGGTATTATTATAGAACTGCATTATTTACATCAGTATTTCATATCGGTTTTTAAAAGGAATTTTAAGCGCCGCATGAGCACTTTTAAAACTACTGTAAGGCCTTGGTATGATTTTTATGAAAGAAATCGAATTACTGAGGGTAGTTAAAGAACTTAAAGCTTTTCCGGTTGATAGTCATTTTATATGAAAATGTAGAGTGAATAGATCAACTCTGAGACTCTTGGATGATAAAATAATATTTATTGAGTTAGATTTTAGTCATTTTTATCATTATAATTTGCAAATAATAAACGTTTTTATTCCCATTTCTTTAGGCATAAATGCACTCTAGTGAAAATCTCTACACGTTGCAGGCAGTGATCGAAAATATAGCCTCTTATTAGGCCTTATACCTAATGGTTTTTCCTTCTATAGTAATGTATAAGGTAAAATTATGTGGCATATTATGTAAAAGCCGCAAATGCCATTTTATAAACCAATTGAAATCTCAGTTCAAGGATAGTATTCTGATAAAATTTCCATTTTAGGGCCATTTTGTGGTGACAACAAACTTAAATGATGGAATATTTAGAGGTCATATTAAAACAATATTTTTATAGGTACCTATCGAAGTGGTTAGTATCGTGGTTTGACATTATCATGTTAGGTGTCATGACATAGGACATCATATTATGTATTTTTGTTGCAGAATCGCCCCTATTTCAAAGGAATAAGGTGCTACGGTGTATAGTTTGATATGCCAATGTTATCAAAGTGGTCTTTTTCAGTAGCCTAACGTTATCAATTGTTTTTCAGGTAATGTAGCCACTTAGGTAATATCCATTATGTCGTTGATAAGGAAATATAATCTTTTTTGCAGTGAAATTTTCACATGACAGAATTTTCCTATGAAAAAATTTTCCGTTACAAGTTGAAATGATATTGATAAATTTTTAAGGTAGATGTGATCAATGTTTCAGTCATCTGTACCTTAGTTTTAAGTACAGTGAAATTAGCTGTTTCAAACAGCATGGATAGGTACCTAATTTAGATAATTCACACCTGTTTTTCGGATCATGTTTCTTTCTAAGGGTGTTTAGACTAAATTAAACACATACAAAGCTATGGGAAGAAACAGTTCTATATACGAGTACTTTAATAATTTATAGGTTATGTAAAGACGCGGGAAAATTCTATGTTATCCTACTAACTAATATTATAAATGAAACGAAAGTTTGGATGTCTGGATGTCAGAATGTTTGTTACTCTTTCACGCAAAAACTACTGAACGGATTTTGATGAAACTTTACAGTATTATTGTTTATGACCCAGAATAACATAATAAGCTATAATTTATGACTATCTGTGACAAATTAATTTCACGCGGGTGAAGCCGCGGGCAAAAGCTAGTTTAGAATACTTTAGAATTACCTACACAGATAACGTATCGTGACAGCAGTAAATACAGTTGACAGCACATAAGATTATAATTTTTTGTTTCAAACTCATCTCTATTACAACTGCTTAAGAACCAACAATGTCTAACTTCATCTGCTTCTGTTTTTATACTCGTATCTCTACAGGATTCTTGATCACGCGCTGCAAAGCTTTAATTACTAAGGCTGGGTTGCACCATCTTACTTTAACTTTGACAAACGTCAAAAATCTGTCAAACTCCATACAAAAAGCATCAGTTATTGTCATTGTTACGGTTAAAATAAGGTGGTGCAACCCAGCCTTAATGTGGAAATCCTCAACTAGACTAGAACGGGTTATTTGTGTTTTTACCTTATTTTATCCACCTACAACCGCAGACGATGGGTTGACTTCTGGTAGTAATCATGGGGTCAGCAAGGTAAGCAGGTTTTGGTAGTTATGGATTTAAGTTAAGGGCATTAATTTTGTACATTGGTTAATTGTTCTATTTTAGGTGTGTGAAATCTTATGTAACCTACTTACA